CGTTCATTTCATTCCACTTCAGCTGTAAAACAGAAGAAAATCAGTTTTGCAAAAACAAATCAAACTATCAAAACATATTAAATATGAAACTATATAATGATGTATCGAGATGCTTTCTTCTCTATACATCTTCAACCGTACGCCTTTAAATTCCTGACCTTTAAGTTCTGGTGATTCAGTCTTCCAGCAGACGTTACTGTAATCACAGATTGTACAGCAGAAAACAAGGTACATTTAAGACTTTTAGTCCCTGTCTACAGTTTTCTGGCAATGCATCATCAGATATTGAGCTGCTCAGAAGAAAGAAAGAAAAAAATCATTGAACTGCACATGATGGAAAGTCCTGTGGTTTTGGTTTTCTGACAGCTGAAGTTCGCAATAATGTTATTTCACAGGCGATAAGAGGGGATTTTGCTTGCTGACAGTGCAGCAATGACATCTTATCTGAAGATACTGAAATCTTATACGGTAAGATTTGAGTTTTTGAAGTTAAGGAGTTGATTTTAAGGTGAACGTTTCTGCTTTTCATTTAACCCCTCTCAGAAGCTTCACTTCAGAAACCAATAAAACATGTTAGAGGTGTAAGAATATTACACCAGAGAATACTTTAATAGCAAATAATACGCATTAGATGTTATTTTTTTTGTTTTGTTTTTTACATCCCTGGCTGATGATACTGATGAAGACAGATAAGGTTGAAGGCAATGTCATTAGTTTTACAATAACTTTGAATTGTCTGATTTGGGATTGCATTTTTCTTCTGTCTCCGCTTCTTAAAATATAAACAATAGCTAGAAAATGGGAAAGGAGACATTCTTATCTTCACCCGATTTACTCCACCACCAGAGGGGACTGGAGTTTACAGACAATAACACACATAAAGACACACATCCTTTATAGATGAAATCTTTCAGGGAATTACGATGACTATATTTGAGTTTCTCCTTGCATAATATAAGTCACCCAAATACCTCAATAAAACCTCGACCTTATTTAACCCCACATTTTTTTGCTGCATATCATCTTAATATGTTTACTAGAGATGTTGCAATGCAAGAAATCCACTGCAATTTACCAAATAACATAACTCTAATGGGCTGAACTCCGCTCTGGAGTAACTGAGCTGCTGTTATCTCCTGACTTGTAAAAACGAAATATCACATCTGAAAGACCCCTAAGTGATGAGCTAATGCTTCGATCTAAATAATCCCCCAGTAAACTGAGCGACTCAAACACATCAGGTTTTATTCTCCTCTCTGCATGACTTTAAACTACACAGATCAGCCGTGATGGAGAACATTAGAGAAGTTTATATGACGTCACTCTGCAGGACTTTTAATGCAAAAGTTCAAGAGTTAGACGGCAGAGTCTCCAGCTGGATTATTTCAGCCTTTCACAGCCAATCATTGAGTTGATGTTACTCTAAATCTAAAGCTCTTGTGAAGGAATTCGGTTTGTGTCGACTATGTGGTACCCCTTTGAGCAGCATCTGATCTTGTCCTGTACATGTGTCGGTAGAGTTTCACTCAAAGTGAATATTAATGTTTAAATGTGAAAACAAAAGCTGTTTGTTCTGCGTGCTATGAATGAGTTAATAAAGGGGCATCAGTATTTGTTTCAGTCTGTTCCATAACGAGTTAAAAACTTCACCAACTTCAACTTCAGCCTCCATCTCAGCAGTACATGTTTCTAGAATGTAGACGCTGTCTTGGTTCCCATTAGGTCTGTTTTACATTGCTCTGTATGCTTAAAATTCACTTATACAAGGACATTTTACATAGCAAACATTTGATAAAATAAATGGACTGTGTCCTGACAGCAGTTTGAGACCTGGAAATAGTATCTGTGAAAACAATGACTCTGTGTTAATGAGATAAACAGTGAGAAGAAAAAGGATTTATTTCTAAAGTTAAAATATGAAGTCTTGCCCCTTCTGGATTTTGATTGGTCGGTCAGGGAGAAGTTACATTGATGAGCATGGGGATGTTTCAAAAGTTAAATGATTTTCAACTAAAGATGCAGCTACTAGTGGACACAGGGCTTTTTTTGGGGGGGGGGGGGGGGGACATGAGGACATGAGGACATGAGGAGAGGAGGTGAAGAAAATAGCTGAGGATGTCCATCTAGGAAGTCAGAAATAAATTCTAACTTCTCATCAAGTTTCCTTTCATCTTTCAAAATAGTGAGTTAAATTATCATTTTAAGCAGTTTAAACTCATAACTTGACATGTTTTACATTCCTGCAGCCTCCAGAGATGAACATTCAGAGCAGCAGGACTTTACCCCTGGACTAAGATCAATATGATGGATAACTAGGAAGCAGGAGTCCTTAACCTTCAGCATGAACATGAACAGTACATATTTATACTGTAACACACACACAGAGACCGCTGACATGTTTCTGTCCTGATTGTGAAAGTGTGACATGTGAGATATATTCCTGTTTTGTCAAACAGTTCTGTCCATTTTTAGTTTCTTTTTCTTTTTACACACTTCGGATACTTCTTAACCACCTTTTAGAAATAAGTACAGAAAAAAATAACTTTTAGAAGTCTTCATTTAAATCCATAAACTCAGTAGAAAGGTTATCTTCTGGAGAATCCTAAATGAGTCACTTTTTCTCTTACTTGAGTCTTTTTTAAGCATTGACGTCACCTCTTCAGCATCTACACCAGCAATGTTGAGTTTATCTTCCACTCGAGTTGTCTGCTGTTGAGTTCCACTAAAGGGACAGTTCTGGATCTTAAAGCTTTTAATAGACAATGACTTTTGTATAAGAACTGAAGTTTAAATATAGATCTACAATGAGACTATTAAGAATGAATCGCCAGCAGCAGCCAGAGAGTGAATCCATTATTAATGTCTTCACACAGAGCAGCAGAACAGTGAGCTGCAGCTGCACAATGTAAAGTTTATCATTGTGTGTTTGTACTAAAAATAACAGGCTGAAGATGGAGCTGATTTATACTCCAATGAAGCTACATTTAATTATGCAATGATTTATCAAACACTGAAAGTTAATCCCCAAACATACTTATGATAGATAAATCGTTTTCTGTGATTTTCATGCAAAAATATAATATATTTGCTGGTTTTAGCTTCTTAAATTTAAGAATTCCCTCCCTGTCTTTGTCACTTACGGTAACAAAAAAAAAGCAACTAAGGCTCTGGGAAAATAAGATGAGCATTTTTCACAAGTTTTTGAAAACTTCTCGACTTCAGTGCTTTCATCAGTTATCGACAAGACCAGCAAATATGCTCAATCTAATGCAAACAACCCTAGTTCCAAATTTGACAGTAAAGGCAGAAGATTTAAATGTTGTAAAGAAAATCTGACTATCAAAACTTAAAATGACTTAAAGCTGAAGGAATCCGGAAAGAATACAAATTTAAAGTTAAGAATATAAAGCAGCATCAGAGCATTAAAATAAGGGCATTGCATCCTAAAAGTGTGGCTATTTTAAAATATTAAGGCCTTATTCAGCCAATTGTCTTACTTAAAACTTAACTTTAGGTGTCTTCTGAGCTGAGAATGTTTTAAATTGTGCACAGATACGACAGAAATTGTTTTAAAGGCTGTAAGTGTGCACTAAACACTCCCTAAAAAAAGGTATAGTGCACCTTTTTTTTTACTCCATATATAGTTAAAAAAAACTAAACAAAAACACATAAAAAATAAAAAGCTGCTGCCCTATTCACTTTACATTAATTGGAAATTAGAGGGCCTAAAAGCTTCAGAAATCCCTAAGAAATACATTTAGGTTTATTTATTTATTGCAGTCTCTAGTAGACATTAGAAGAATTAGCAACTTATAATAAGGTCACTATTTACCTATATTGTGACTATTAAATACAACAAAGCTTTATTATGCTATTAACCCGTATTAAACCAAAAATGTGGAGCCCCAGGAGGTCAACATGTTCAGTTATTCTAAAGGAATATTACAGAAATACTTAAAATGCAATAAAATCCTCTTAACATCGATAAAAGACTTTAAGACGCTGAATTACTCCAAATAGTAAATATGTGACGTTGTTTACGTATCAAATGAGTATAAGGGTTTGTTTGATTAGTGAGGAACTGACCGTGTGGATGAAGCAGAAGCCGAGCAGCAGCAGCAGAGCGAGCCGGTGCGTAAACGACATGGTCACACCTCATCCACCTGAAGGTGCAGCAGCTCGCGACTCACATCCTCAGCAGCCAAGCACGTGCGCTGAAATGCCTCCAAACGGGGAAGTGTGTGTGTGTAAAAGTGTGTGTGAAAACGTCGCCTTCAAATCGGCATTCATTTGGACACGTTGGTGTTCAGCGTTACGCACGATTTGAGCCTCTTGCAAAAAAAAAAAAAAAAGAAGAAAAAAGTTTTCTGAAAAAGTTCCAACAATCTTTCCCAGAATAAACAGAAGCGCTTTCTTCAACTTATTATGGTTTGTTTTGATGAGTCCATTGCACAGAGCTGAAATGAGGCGGTGGTCCGGTTCACTCCCAGTTCACTCTCGAATCTGTGCGCGTCACCGACACACGCTGCCCCTGGGGACACCCCGCACAGATGCGCGCTCCCGCACACCTGAAGCAGCTGCTGTTTTTTATTTTATTTTGAACAGCGACATCGTGTGGCTGAGCTCAGAACTACCGTTAATATAAGAAAGTGGAGGTTAGATTATTTTATTTTGGTCATTTCAGTATTTATCCTGCCCTACCACTTTGTAAAACACGTGATGGGGTTTCTACATGATAAATAGGTACAAAATAAAAGATGCCACATAATCCTTCTAGTTACAATTAATGTTTTAATCAAAGTAGAAAATAAAGTCTAAATCTATGCGATGTTCAAATACATTTAAGTATAAATATACATTACTTTTCACAACTGTATTACTTGTGTCTATGTGTTTTTATATTTGTGTTAAGTGTTCTTTTATGTTAGCATTAATCTCCCAAAGTAAACAGAGCAACTATTCACATAGAAGGAATATAAATAATACAAATAAAAACAGTCTGAGTTTTAGCCAATCAAAGCACTTTATTGCACTGTATAGTGTGACGGTGAGCCAATAGCAGGCTCTTATAAAAGTGTCATTTAATCTTTTATCATGTGTACAAAACAAGTCACACACACTTGTACCGTACAAAATCAACACTATTTACATACAATATACACACACACATACACACACAAACTCACACACACCATGCAGACTCTCTCCCATCCAGTCTTCCGGCTTTCTGATGGGATTTTCCTTCATATCCAACGTCCTCCACCTCACACACACACAAACAAACAAACAAACACACAAACACACACACACACAGGGACTGAAACATGAGTGTTCACGCTGCTACCCACAAACCAAAGCTGCCATGACAGCCAAACAAGCGCTAAGCAAACTCCTGATATGCATAAAGTTTTATTTTCTTCTCATTAAATAAAAGTCGACAACAACGATGAAACAAGAAAAAGAATCCAAGATGAAGAACAATGAGATGAAGTCATCGAGGATGTAAAGAAACGCTGCTCGATCCATTCGTAACCCTCTGAATAAACGTCTTTATAACCTGCAGAGTCAGAGGTTAAGAAAATACTTTAAGCAGTGCTGATGCTTCCCGTGATGTTAGGGCGACTACACCTAATTTCAGGGTTTCGCTGTTGTTTTTTAAATTTAATATTTAAATCATTTCTAAATAATTACAAACAAACTGCAACACCTGAACACCCAAAGGCTGCCGAGTCTTCAGTTCCCCTTTGATTTCCTCATTAAGTCCCTTTAAATGACAATATTCACACAGTGCACCTCGGTTCACACTTTAACCGATACATTTAGAAATGTACGATGATGGTTCATGTTCAAGCTTTGCTGCACTTTAGCTGAAATGAACTACAGTACTTTATTGATAAACATTGCACTTATGATGTACTTTAATGTTTTAACTTTGAAATCATTTAAACTGATCTAATTTTGCATAAACCATAAACTGTATATACGCCTTTGGGGTGGCCTCTGAGCCTCAAAGTGAGGCCAAAATGGAACGTCGTAAAACTGCATTCTTACTAGCGGCCAGCAGAGGGCGACTCCAATAGTTGCAGTACATTTATTTTAAATTAGAAAACGTGATCAAATCATGTCATGAACCCTTATCGTGATGCATATGGTGTCTTGGGTTGAGTATATCTCTAGTTTCAATTCTTCAAACAGCATGATGTTCATTTTGTAAGTGATGAAACTAAAAACTGTTTTCTTTAGTGCTAAGCTGCTTGTGATCGACACGTTTCTATCTGCATGACGAGGTACTACAATTCACTCAGAGAAGTCGGCTGTTTGTTTTTGTTAGCTTCATTTTGTTTAAAGATCCCGTGAGGAGTTTTTAGCTGCTTTATGGACTACAAAAGAAGAAAAAAAAAGACTATCAGCACAATGATGAATTATTTCTAAAGATTTCAGAATTGGCTGCTGTGGGCTGGTTGATAAACTGCTGCAGTAATGTTTTTAACATTTTTCACAGCAAAGATTCTCAATGAGTGAAGATTTGACTGTAAAACAAGGCAGGCTGAAAGGTTTTGTTTGAAACTCTACTTACACGTGCACAGGAAAAAGAAAACAGCAAACACATACTGCTTTGTCCACGAGGGCGCCATAATCACCAAAAGTTCCTCATAGGAGCTCTAAAGCGTGTTCTTAGCTAGACAAAATTAGCTTCCCAATGAATTCCACATTTGGCATAAATGACACGTGCACCTCGCCAACTAAGCCAGCTCGAGTTGAGTACTTAGTGTTTGCTAAAGCCAGGCTTCTCTCCATTTGCCGTCTCTTCTGGTTTACAAAAAAACACAAGACAACTGCCGAACTTCAACTGGAAGTGAAAAATCAGAAGATGCTGTAACTGTGTCTATGTGGGCTTCTTCTGCAAAGTTTACGGCATTAACACGTCCTCTCTCTTTTTCTGCAAATGAGTCAACACACAAAGCTCCGATCAAACTGTCACACTGGGCGGTGCTGACTGAACATGGACAAGATTCTGTTCCTGCATCGCCGCAATGGTTTTTATAAACTTATTTTAGTGTTTGAAAAGTCTCGGATGGAAACGGATTTTCCGATGTCAAGTCAACTGGACGCTGAAACACACACTCAGCTTTTTTTTGGTTGTTTTTTTTTTTTTTTTTTTACGTGTTTCTGTTTGCAGCTTAAACGTGTTAAACATGTTAAAGTGTTTTAAGCATCCGTATATTTTTTCCCCCCCCTTTTCCTCTTTTAAGCATAAAATCTTTCCCATGAATCACATTTACACGATGTGAAATGTCCCCGTCACACATAAACACAGACAGGTGAACACACTCTCAGACAGAGACACACACTCTGCAGACACACACACACACTCACACACACACACACACAGGGTGCAGGTGGAGAGAGCTGCATATAGGGGCTACTACACCTCATTGTGTTTTAGGTTCCTCTCCATATAGATTATTATGTCTATGTACAATATTTATATTTTTACAGTTCTCTGGCTGCCCCTGTTCTAATTGAAGTAAAACCACAAATCTGGATTTATTTGATTCGACCAGTAAAACATGATGACAGATACGAGTCTCTAGTTTTTTTCTCGCTCTACTTTTATCTCCTAAAACTTCTGAGAAGCGACAGGCGGTGTGACGACCAGAGCCATCGCCCCATACACAGTGTTCCCCCTAAGGCTTTCTACAGTGACGAGCTCCTGGTGACGGTCACGAGATTAAATGGGGTGTAAAAATGATCATAACACCACTGAGCAATCAATCAGTAAGCCAATCAATCATCCAACCGGCACGACACGACTTTAAAGAAAACAGACGACTTAAGACCACACCGTACGCAGGTTCAAAAATACAGTACATGTTGATTTGGGGGGAAATAAAGGAACAACAACGGCAATATGCACAGCATACACACGCATGCTATCTCTCTCTCTCGCGCACACACACACACACACACACACACACGCACACAAAAACACACACACACACTCAGGCTACATGTTGTAGGCCACGTAGATTGGATCTAGCTGGTCTTGTAAGAAGCCGTCGCGGAGGTGCATGCGCTGTTTCTCGCCGCGGGAGTTGATGGGGATGACGCCGATGTCCGTCACCACGACGACGCCCACGATCAGGTAGTGCTCCTCCAGCACCGCCTTGGTCACCATGGGAACCAGGTCAAGAGCTTCCTGCTCGGAGCCTTCCAGCTCCACCACCACCACCAGCAGGTTGGTCCAGGGGAAAACGGCACTGAAGACGAGGAGGAGGACAAATGATTTATGTATCATCGCGGACACTGTTTCTGCTGTGGAAGCTGCAGTTATTGATTCGTGTGAACCACTAGGGGGCAGCAGAACTCCACAACAAGCTTATGTCCAGGCTGACAATCACTCTGCCAATAACTTTGTCAGAGTTCCCAAACTATCAGACACTGTGGCTGCTCTCTGAGTCTGAGCAGGAGGTGATCAGCAGGACTGTCGGAGCTTCCTGCGTCTCTTTGACTGTAAAACCACTGCAACTCTGTACTTTTTAAATACCTTTGTCTTAGAGGAGTCTTAAAGTCTCACTTTATGCTACTCTATTTTCTACTCCCCTACATTTCAGAGGGAAGTGTTTCTTTGACTGCACCACATGTCTCTGAGAACATAACTTTCTAGTCACAGTGCAGTGTAACATTTCTAATACAAGAAACTAGGATCTGTGTATAAATATGAGATTGTTTACAGGGCTGAGCACACGTCTGTTCATCTGTTCATTATCTGCACTAATCTTTTTGAGTCATTATCAAAAACGTTCACTGTTAAATTTGGTTTCGGTTAACTTTCAAACCCCGCTCTGACTGTACACGGAGCTATGAAGAGACAACCTGAGCGAGAGCAAAGTGCCTCCCGTGCTTCAGAGAGCTTTTTGAACAACGAACCAAAATGCCCGTCTCTGCTGCTTGACCTACATGTAGGTACTTCTAGAGCCCCGCTGAAGTGAGGACAGTCGTAATAAATCAGCAAAGTTCTGATTATTTTTGATTTTCTTTACAGGAGCGTGCGTCATTCAGAGTTTTCTAAGTCATCATGACCTCTAAAGAACTCAATGACTTCACAAAAAGCTTTATTTCCATAAGTTATCATTTTAAAGTGATGATTGTGAAACGTTTTTCGGGTCTAAACCAAATAAAGCTGATTTTTGGTTGTTGTATTTTTACATCTGAAAACCAGGATTTAGTCGCTCATTATGATGCTTTTCTGTCAGACATTTTTAACCTGAGGAAGAAATGAGAACTTCAAGGATCGTGATATTGTGCTTTGCTCATTACATTTTGATATTATTTTGATTCATTTTGCCTACCACTCCATGATGCTCTTGTGTGCGCGGATGACGGAGGTCTCGATGTCGATGGGATGGTACCTCATCCCCCTCAGCTCCATGGCCTCCTCCAGAGCTCCCACCACGAACAGAGCATCGTGTCTCTCTGTTTAACAAGAGGAAACAAAAAGAGACGCCATGTTAGTTTCGGTGTCACAAGCAGAGAGGGAACTAAGGACTCGGAGAGAAAACGAACCTCCGGTGGCATCGGTGAGCTCTGTGCGGCGGAGGAAGCCCAGGTATCCCGTCCTGGCCCAGACCGTCTGCGTGTCTCCAAAACTGAGTCTGGAGTTGAAGTGATCAGACTGAAGGACCTCCTCGCCGTAACCACTGTAGTAACCGCTGCCGTTATGAGCGCTGTGCACCCAGATCTAAAGGACCAATCAGAGGCAGAATAAGCTATTGGTGGAAGAGAGAATGATTTGAAACACGAGCAAAAAGTTTCAATGAGATCTTTTCAAAAATGTAATGACAGAAATGTAGGTAACAACAGAATGTTTCAGAGAGGTGAAAGAAAATAAATCCTACAAAACTACAAACTGTGAAAACATAAAAGACCAACAGTTTGATTAAACTTTACATTTTTAACGATATGCCAACAAAACTTCAGGGAAAAACCTCAGGGGAGAGTGGTTCAAGAAAGGAGGGAAGAATCAAAAAAAAGAGTAAAACCAAAGAGGCATCAACAGAAAAGTTCAAGTAAAAATAAATTAAAACAAACAAAATGATAGATTTAAGAGATTGAACATAAAATACTGTTACAGGAACAATACTGCAAGAAAAGAGTTTAAAGGTATAAAATACAAAAAGAAAAACCAAAGGAACAAAAAATGAAAAAGAAGTGAATAGATAAAATAAAAAGATAAAAATGTAAAATAAAGGCAAACGTGAAGGAAAGATAAAAGTTCAGAAAAAGAGTTGGAAAAAAGGAGCAAGAAAAACAAAAAGGCAAACAGAGGAAAGAAATAGAGACTTCATAAGAAAGGAAGGAGCAATGAGGAGACAAAAAGAAGCAGTAGAAATTGAAAGGCTAAAGAAAACGGATAAAAAGGACAGGATGGAAATAACGGTGACAGAGAGATTATTTAAAAAAGAATAACAGGAAAGGCTAAGAAAAGAAAACTGGAAAAGGGGAAACAAAAAATGAGTTACGAGAAAGAGAAAGGAACAAAGTTAAGTTTGACTGAACATTTAAAGAGCGAGATAATTCAAAGTAAAGAAAAGGAAGGAAAAAAGGATGAAATACAAAAGAAGAAAGCAGTAAAAGTATAGAGTCACCTCTCCCAGGTGTGAGTCTCCCAGAGGTCCTTTGGTCTCTGGGTTGGCGATGATGATACGAACTCCAGGTAAGATCTGAAAAAACAAAGAATGGGTTGCCATGGTTACAACATCAGCCATACTCTTTGATTTAAGCATCAAAACAACTAAAAGAAAAACCAGACCCAGCTGTTCAAATTGAACGCCTGCTTTCACCTCAACAGTTCAGTTCAGGCGTGTGTTGATTTGTGGTCAAATAAAGATCTCGTGAAGTTCTGCACGTCTGCGATCACACTTCACAGCTGATCAGATTTAATCTTTCACATACTGAACAAACAGAAACACTGTTCAAGGAGCATCCAAACACAGGACAGACTGGGAAACATCGTTTTTCTGTCCTCCTCCCACATGCACTGAGTCAAAATAAACAGCGAGCTGATCGATGACCAGCACAAACATGACGTCCTCTATTTGTGTGTCAGCGTGGGGGAAGAAGAAACACCAACATGCCATCAAACCCAGGAAAAGACTCCATCTGTTTAACACAGCTTCATGAGGAAACATGGATTTTATTTTATCACAGGGAACAACTGTTTCAAACCATTCCCTTTTCATCCTGTAAACGATTCATTTAATTTGTTATATATGAGCTTCTACGATCTCTTGAACTTGAAGTCAAAGCACCTCAAGCTGATTTTAGTCATTTTTCTTTTCAGAATATTAGGAACTCAAAAAGAAGCCTGGCAGTGTTGACCTCTCATCAGACTATATGAGAGGACCTCTCATCAGACTATATATAGACTATATATATATATATATATATATATATATATATATATATATATATATATATATATATATGTTGATGCAACTTCCATGTTCTAAAAGTGAAGCTGAGGAGGTGGCCTGCATTCTTTCTAATGCCCAGCAGGGGGAGTTTCAGACGTTGTTTTAGACTGATTGATTGGACACCTGTGAGAAAGTTTTTCTACTTCTCACCTGATTTATTCCCCTCAGTAATCATTTGCCTCACAAGTTTGGGCTCCCAACATCTTGTCTTGTTGTCCTTCTTTTTGTAAATTATGGATCCTTTTAAAGTTAAATTGAAGCACAGCATGCTATAGGGTTTGGCTAAATGTTGTTGAAAAGCCTCGACCACAGTGACCCGTCTGCAAAACTTCAAGAACTGGACTCATGAAGAGACGTCATTTCTGTCTTTTTCATTACCAGCTAAAAAATCCTCACAGGAGCTTTAAGTGTTCAACATATCATACTGAATGTTTGCCATGTTCAATATCTTAAATCAGTTTTACTTCCCCGCTGTGATTGGTTAGCTAATAGGTCAAACATGATGGTAAGAAGTTCACACAAAAAACAAAATGACCAAAATTCGAGGAAAGTTAAATGTTCCAAAAGGCCGTGTCCTGCAAATTTAGACATTTTAAAAGCCTAAATTCTCTCTCATTTGCAACGGGCAATTTTAAAATGCAAAAGCAAGACATTAAAGGCTGGCTTCTGGAAGCTTCTGTTGTGCACCAACGTCCCAAACAAACCTTGTTGATCTACACAGTGACCGTTATTGAACCAAGAGTTTCAACACTGATACAAACAATTAGTATTAGTTTCTGCTCATTAAGACTTCTTTTGTTCTGACAAAGTTGTGAAACACTTAAAACAAATCTTTTGCCTCTGAGTGTGTTATATTTAGCCTCAGCCAGCTCTCCTGCTGACCTCTCTGATGGGGATCACTGAGTTGCTAAGAGATCTGAAATGAAACTGGAATAAGAGCTGCTAAGTGATGGGATGAGTACAAAGTAATTTGCTCCTGGATTAAAGCAGCAGATTTGAAGTGCTGGAGTCTGGATGAAGACGGAGCTGAACAACACAAAAAAAGTACAAGTTGCAATCAGGCGAGAACTTACATGCAGCGAATTGTGTCGTTCTTAAATCTGCTCCAAAAATAAAACACCCTTGAATATAATCTTCTAAATGTGGGCGAGTCATACACTTCATTTTTCTCTCTTCGCTTTCTGCCATGATGTCTTGAACAGTTAGAATAATATTTTCTGTCCCATTGTCTCTAAAACATGAGCTAAGTATATTTTTAAACTCTGAAGTAAGCTGTACAGCTGTACTGCGAAAATAATGTTGATCTGATAAAACAAGATGTTGGTTGTAAAGCTTCTCCTCACTCCTAACCCACTGCAGGCAGGTACAGGTGAACTTTACTGTGTGACAGGACACTGTGACATCACTGTTGGCTGTTTTCAGGTTTCAGAGATGTGATTAATGTGATATGATCCTTCCTGCACCCACACGTCCTCAGACAGACAGTGAGGATGGACGCCTCTGGGCTCGTCATGGACTCAGAACCTGCTGTCTGCTTTGACTCACTGAACGTGGGAGGACGTGCAGCCAAAAAAACAGAAATAAACCGATCTTCTGCCCGTCTATAATTTGCTGCTGTTTGGTGCATCTCAATTTTTCTTCACTGTGAGCTTGCCTCTTTCTAAAATGCATCCTTGGGAAAAAGAAAAATACTGTTCAAAGATCCCAGTTATGTCATTTGTCTTAATTTGATCTCCTGAATCATGTCTTGTAAACAGCTTTTAGGTGGAGGCTCCAAGGGAAAGAAATCAGTTTTGTGCAGATACTTATTTTTTTGTGTAGCTTTTTGACAAAAACATTAACATTACATTATTGTGCAATTGTTTGTGCAAAGAAAAAGATAACTGCAATGTATTTATTAACTAAATAATGAAATTATGTTAGAATTAGAAGTGGGTGGTGAGTAAGCACTAATGAGAGACGACTCTCTGTGAGTAGGAGGGTATTTCATTCTTTCAGAACGGTAACTGTACTGTTAGACTCTGAGGAATACGCAATGCATCTAAAACATTAGTCCTTACACCTCAGTAAACTGCCTTAAATGATCTTTGTGCTCCAGTACTTTCTTTGGATTCTGCCTGTGTGAAGGAGTCCACTGAATCATCTTTTTAATGTCTAAAATCCATTTCTGAGAACAGTAATCTCAATCTGTGGAGAGGTTAAACGCAAGAGATTCCTTCTACTGTGCATATATTTTCTGTTTCTTACTCCCACTCATTTACAAAATAAAAGCTTAAATGGGACAGAACATCCATACATGTTCTGTGTTGTTTAAGTTTTGATTGTAAGGATGTACTGTCTCAGTGACATCACCCACCGATGTATGAAGAGATGTTTTAATGGCGGTCACCATGTTTGAAATGCTTTCTCAGACTAACTTTTGATCAACCTAGATACAGGGAAAGAGGTGAAGCCGAGCTGGGCCATAAGCCTCCTGACAAACAGCTCCAACACCCACATGTCAGTCAACTCAACGACACCAAAATATGCAAAATGTATAATGCACAAGTCTTCGCCTTGATAAAATCAAAACAGGAGAGATAAAACAAAATTCTCCCTGCACAGTTTTTACCAATAAAGAAATTAGTTATAGAGACAAAAACATTCTTTCTGATTCAGATTGTGAACATGTTGAATTCTTCTTGTTCATTTTTTTTGCAGCAAGCCTCTAGTGGATAATCGAGGAACTGCATTCTTTTTTTGCATTTGCTTCATTATTTTCATCATGAAGTTAAATGCAGACTTCATGTCCAGCTTACACTTAAATAAGGATTTAAAAAATGCTGTGTACAGATGGATCACTGAGTACATTTAAAATAATAATCCCCTTCAGTTGTTGTATACTTCCAGTGATTCAGCCAATCATAATGTCTGAGTGCTATATCATCTTTATATGCAGAATCAGGTCAACCATATTTGGTTCACACTCTGGTTTAAACATTTTGAATTTACTCAAACTGCATCTACAGTTAAACACAAAGTGTGTTCACATCCTACATGTTTAATAATCTTAAAGTGAACCTGCATGACGCTCACCTTTCCAGACTCCATTAACGGCAGACTGTGAGGAGATCCTCTCTCCACCAACCGAACCCTGAAATACACAAATGTGTAAATGTCTCAGTTTAAAGTTAAAAAGAGAGTAATTGACTAAATAAAATGTTGTCAGGACAGACTGTAGTACCTGTCATGGCGGAGCGCTCTCATGTCCACGTACACAGTCGTTGGGTCTGGTCCTGAGGTGCCCTGCAGCCAATCACAACACAGATCATTATTTCACTGACACGGGAAAAGGGCTGTTTCCTTAAATTAACAAGTTAACGATGTTGTTCATTTGGAAATACAGAGCAGATTTTTTTTAAATTCAGAAAACCTGAGAATGATTTTGTTTTCTGAAGTGGGTGTTAAACTGTGCGTAGAACAGCAGCCTTTCAGATACAAAAAAATAGGACTTCATTCAATTGTTTTCTGTGAGGAATATAAATGTTTTTCTCTATTCTTTTTTTGTCATCAAGTTTAAGACGCATGGGGAAAATAAAATCATTGCTTTGAATCATGAACTTTCAGATAATCTGTCATCATGATTTTATACCAAGCGTCAGTATTTAATAACATTTGTCTCTCACATTTCAGTCAGAACAAAAACAATCTTCATACCTCACAAACAAGTTACGCAATGGTTTTAGATTAAATGACTTGTAATATGAAACATAATGAGAGTTGAGACAGTGTCCTGTTGATAACGATGAATATTATCAACACTTAGAGGATGTACATTCAAAGTATCTCTCTGCTTATTGAAAGTGTGAGTCTGTGCTTCACCTGCAGGCAGATGGCCAGGTTGACTCTGCAGCCGAAGGCGGTGCTGACGGATCGCGGGTGGAGGCCGAGGTCTTTGAAGAGCTTTGAGAAGGAGTGTGTGAGAGACATCCTGGGCCTCTCCTCCGCCACCACGACGCAGGCCCGAACCCGGGACAGATCCAGACCTCGAGCCTGAAGGAGAGACGAGAGAGGAAAACGTAGCATTAAACTCAAGTTGTTTAATGGGATTTTAATTAGGCTGATTGATATTTTATTTTATTTGCAGCTCTATGTCTATGTTTACTGTCTTCTGTTTTTTACAAAGTCATCCATAGCTGTCTTTATTTTTCTTTCTTGTACTCTTTATTTTTCTTTTTTCTTTTTTTTAAGATTTATTTTGGGCTTTTTGTGCCTTTAATGGAGAGATAAGACAGTTGATAGATGAAATCGATGAGAGAGAATGGGGAACGACATGTGGGAAAGTAGCCACAGGTGGGAGTCGAGCCTGGGCCGCCTGCTTGGAGGACCTCACATATAAATCATATTTATCTAACACTGACAAGACAGTGTAAACTTTGCTAAGTATTACAAGTATAGTATCAGAGATGTCTTAGTAAAAGTCACATCTAGAATTTAAGACTTATCAACTATAGAAATGTGTATTTAAAGAAGTTTAATGACTTGAATTTGATAAATCTAACTTAAGACTTTTTAATTCTGATTTTACTTTATAAGTAAAAAAAAATTGCTCTTGTTCTGTCGCTGCAGCGTAATAAAAAACACCTTGAAACAAGTCTCTAATTTGTCTGTAGCCTACTATAAGACATAAGGAGGTTTGGGAGTTAAGTAAGAACTCAATCACAGTTGAAATAAAGAGCAACAGTGTGTTTTATGTCACTGACAGATTAAGAAAGGTGTTTGTAAGTAGAAAACATTTGTACTTTTCGCTCTGTGCTTGGCCCTTCAGTCTCCATGGAGACGTAAAGAAAGAAAATCACTAAAATTAACTCAGCAGTGACCAATCAGAGCGTTGCTAATTTCAGCCTGAAGCAGAGCGGACAGAGACAGAGTGTGAGTTCATTACTCCTGATCCTCTGCAGAGGCTGAAGTCTGTTAGACAGACTCTCAGTCTGTCGTTAATTTCACAGTGGTGAGTCCAACGGTACTGATGATCAGCTGCAATAAGAAGAATCACAGTCGGGCTCTGATGGTGAATCAAGAGCTGGTTTCAAGTTAGATAAAATCGTTTTTTTGGGATTTATTTCTTTCAAAATGCCTTGATATTTGTGGCTCTTAATTGTTTTTGTGTCACTAAGCTTTACAAATTGAGCAGAGCCTAATTTTGATTTCAGCACCGCAAAAAGTTAAAAAGTGCATTTCTAATTTTGAATCAAAAATATCCCTTAACTGAGGTCATATTCTCCTGACAAGTCCAGATCGACATCCTATTTCAAGGTATAAAACACAAAAAATCTGCCCTGCTTGTTATAAGTAAAAATATCTGCCAGTGGGGAAGGCAAATTTGACTTTAGAATGAATAAGTTAGATCATCTTATTTCAATACACTCAACAAGTAAATGCTGCCTTCCTCACTGGCAGATATTTGTACTTATTATAATTAATAAAGGCCTCATTCTGTTTTAGATGTTGTTGTTCTTGTTTTGCAGTGAGCGCCATGGCTTGTCGTCATAAATCTTGGACCATGAGAAAAGGAAGACCCCATAAGAGGGACTTTACTGTCACCTGAAAACTAGTTCTATAAAAACATGTAAATAGTTTTAAGTTCCTGGAAAAGTTATTATTATTGTGTAAACTAAGAACAACTTTGGTGTCATGAATTAAAAACCTGACCGGTCTTTGGACTCATATGAGACCATAATGAGTTCTTTAAATGCGTGCTGCGTCCTTGAGAGCCTCCTTTGGTTTAAAATGGTTAAATATGTTTAAAGACATGTAACAAGTGTTCCTAGAACTGTCGCTGTGTCAGAGTGTTTCTGACCTTGAGCGCCTCTGTCTGCAGGCCGAGTCCTTTGGTGCACAGCTCCATGACGCTGTACGAGCAGAAAGTGTCTCGCACCCTCAGCTGGCTGACGGCGAGCAGCCACAGCGCCGGGTTCGACTCCAGCTCCACCGGAGGGATCAGGATGGACTGGTGGCCTGAATACACACTACCCAAAAACAGACATACTTTCTTTCAGACTTTTAGGATGGTAACATGCAATAAAACAACCCTGTATACAGTTAACTGTAAAGCTTGTTGTTGTTTTTCCATAGAAACGTGAGAAAAACCTCAATCATTTATTTTACAGAAACAGGTGCAGAAATGAGTGATTGTTGCTCTGAAGTCATTGAGGAGGATGAGGTATTCTCAGACTGAAGGTGATTTGCTCTTCACTTTATTAACAAGACGCTCAGCAGCAGAATTCTGCCCTCGCCAAGTTTACAATTTACGAGCTGGTGATTTAAAACTGAGCAGAGCTGAGATCTGGAACCAGAGCAAACGTGGTGGAGCTTCACAGATAAATATTTCACAACTGCTGCTCTCTGTTATTGTTATTCAAAGGAAGTCAGACAACTTGTTTTATATCACTCATACTTTAGGTGGAAGGTGACGGCGGCCGCGATGCAGTTTAAACAACATATTTGACGTCATCGTATGCCAAAATATGAATCATTCGTTTAGCCGACTTGTAACTCTTATGCTGACTAAGGCGGGTGAGGACATTTAACCCTTTAGTCCACTAAGCGTGCACCCTTTAGTGTAAGAAGACATAAACACACAAACCTGCACAGACACCAGAGGACGAAGCCGAGGCCGCAGTACGGATCAAGACAGATGGCCACTTCTCTGGACGGGTACAGCTCACACTGAAGCTTCACCGACCGGCAGAACGCTCCAACTGCATTATGGGACATCTAGAGAGAAGGAGGATAAGAAAAGAGACAAAAGAAGACACACACAGACGGACACAAAACAAGGCAGAAAACAGACGATTATTCTTAAAATGCATTCTTTATATTTCAGACTTATTCACGGTTCATGCCTGAGCTAGGTTTGAGAAAGACAGACGTGACTGCTTTGATTTAAGCTGCTCTCATATCATGTTTCTTGCCTCTCTACGTTGCCTTCTACAATAAAAATAGATATGAATAAACTGAATAAGAAGAAAAATGCGTGCGGGCGACTGAACAAGAGGCTGTTAGCGGTTTGCTCATGCGATGAGGATTAGCGCTGAGCTGACCTGAACTCCGGCCAGCATCCCGGTCGTGGACACGCTGAAGTCCAGATAGGCCAGACCGTCAGGGTTGGTGGGCTTATAGAGAGCTGGAGGCTTCTTCTTTGGCAGGTCATCTGCAGAACACACACACACACACACACACACACACACACACACACACACACACACACACACACACACACACACACACACACACACAGACATATGTTTTATAACACTCAAGAGGACAGTCTGTTGAGTTGCATCCATTTCAGAAACACTGACCTGAAGATGAACCCACAATGCAGCTATAGCAGCTTGTGAGGAGTCAATGATTTAAAATGTTCTGCTGGAGAAGAGTTTTTTTTTTTTTTTACACAGCTGAAACTTGATCTATATGCACAGAAATACTAAACCTTGTGCCTTTTCTGCTTTCATAGACAGTGTTAAATAATGAATGTGATTCTAAAAGGACAAAGGAGTTCAAACTTCATGTTCATCTTCATAAAATGGAAAAAATCCACCTGCTGACTGAATGTTTACAGCAGTTTACAACCATCCACCATCCAGATTAAGGACTCCTGAGACTAACAGTAAACAGTCACATAACATGGACTGCTTCCATCTGGAATATGGAAGGGCTTGAAGTGCAACACACACCAGAGATGTCAAGCAGACAGGGGAAGTACTTAAAGGGCAGTAACGATGATCAACCTGTGCAGGAAACAAATCTGACAATACTGCTGCCATTTTTAAGACTTGAAATAAGTCAGCCTATGATGGTGTGTAGGTCTGTGGGTGTACATATAAAATCAGTGCAGGATTATCGAGCGGGTAAAGAGCTGCTGGTGAGCTTGTATACTGTATCTAAGAAGTGGACATAGCCACCATGATGCCCCAGTGGCTTATGGACTACAGATTCGATGCAACTAGCCATTTAAGAAGAATGGCCATTTGAAGTTTGTGCTTTGCCCGTACATGAATATGGAGGCCATGTCTACTTTAATTCAGTCTATGGTTGACTAAAACACTGGAGTTTGTGGTTTAAAAGTACTCTACACTTCTTGACCACCACAGGCAGAGTAAATTATATCTTGTGATGCAGCACCTGTCAGAACTAAGCAGTTTTCCTGTAAAATGCAGTGGAAAAAAACATGGCAAGAGGAAAATTGTAAATCTTAACGATAATCCAAATGTGGGTTTAATAATCCTTAAAAGTTTCCTAGAACATATTTCTGTGTGAGTGATTGTTAGAAAATCAGCTGTACCTGTGTCGAGGACAGGTGGCCAGTTCCTGATGTCCACGGTGGCCGTGGCCTCCTTTGAGCGCAGCAGCTTACAGATTACCGCCGTGGTCATCACACAGGCTGAGTGACTGACCTGAGAGAGAGAAGGTGAAGAATCTCTGGTTACATAAATATTTAACTATAACTAATTATCTAATTATTGACCCTGCTCATCTCTTACTAAAATCTGAATTTTGCAGGAGTAAATAAAAAAACAAAAATAAAATTAATATGTATTAATAGTGTCTCAACTAAAGGGACAAAACTGGTTGTATCAAAGTCTTTAAAAAAAAAGCAATTTAAAAACTCAAAACCAAAAAGTGTCACTTTGTAGAAAACTGTCAGACCTCGACGATCATCTTGACGGTGGGCAGGGTGGTGGAGATGTTCTGGGGGTGAGGTGGTCGCACGGTGATGGGAACACAGCCGGCGTACAGACAGCCATAAAAAGCTGCAATCAGGTCGATACCTACAGGACACACACAGAAACACACATATGAACTCACACACACACAGAGGGTCGAGGGATCGCTCTGGTTCTCTCAAATTTAACAGTCTTCAGCATCGTGTCTGACCTGGCGGGTAAACCAGAGCGACGTGGTCTCCCTCCTGCAGACCCGCTCTCTCCATCAGCAGAGCCGCCACTCGCTCAGCCCTCTTATGGAGCTGCAGACAGGTGAGGGAGCTGGACACCGCCCCCTGGAGGAGTGGAGGGAGGTTATTAAGTATAAGCATTGTATGATAAATTGATCAATCACTTTATCTCAGCAAGAGAGTTGTAGAAGAAGTATGGTCAGAGGTGTGTGTTGTTACCCTGGAGCTGAGCAGGGTGTAGAGGACGTGATCTGGTGTCGTCTGAGCTCTCCACTGCAAAACCTCGGACAGGAACAGGAACTGAGAAACACAATTAGAGCTCAGGTTATCACAAACAGTCAGGATTTTGTCACCCTGAGCACTTTGAATTGAAATGTTTGGACTTTGTGCAATCAGTGTGATGACCAAAGCCTAGAGCTGAAACAAATTCATCTCCTTAAGATTTAGTAATAAATGTGACTTATAATACAATACTACTGATAATAACTAATAAACTTATAGATGTACTTTACTGTGAGTGCAGACGTCGTCATGTTTACCATAAAAATGCATCAAACAGTTTTAAAGAAGACAAATAGTCATTGTAATAAAGTGTCTCACAGAGAAGTTGAACGTTTGTGCACACAAGTAGTCAAAGTTCTCACACGTTTGAGCTGAAACTGGGAAATGCATATGTAATAAACATTTGTATCCACTGTATCAATACTGCTGACTGAGCATCACTTTTTACTGCAGCAGCAAAAAGTCTCTGCCGTCTATCAAACATTAAAGTGTTTTAATCGATATCATAGAGAGAAATCTCAAAGCAGGAAAGAAACTATCTGCTGATGCGTCAAATTGCCCCTGAAGAATACGTTTACAAGCACTTTACAGAAAGCTTTTCCCGTCTGGGAGCTTAAAGAGTGATTTTGATCAAAAGTTGTTTGAAACTCCTGATGAAGTCAAAATTGTCACCTGTGCTTTTACTCTAAAATGTCAAAATTTAAATTGGTAACTCATCAAAACAGGCTCGACCTTTAGCAGCACTGAATTTATTGAGCAAGATTTCAAAGGGTTTCAGGAAAATAATCCATCCATTGAATTGAATATTATTTCATCTAGACGTGAAATAAAATGATTCATAGTATGAAAAAAAAGCATTGATTGTGTGTCTATGATTTTTACCTGGTCATTGTCGTCAGTCTGTCCTAAATCTCTGCCGCTGGCCTGAGCGATTCTCTTCCCTGACACCAGATTCCCCACCATCACAGAGGCAGGTCCGATCTCTGCATCACACACACAGACACACACACATTAACAAGAATCACCTTCAAACCTAGAAACATGCACAGACAATGTGACATTCTTATGAACGCAAACCCCCGTTTTCCCACCTGGTTGTTTCTGCCGGGGTTTGGGCAGGTTGGTGACGCAGGTGTGGGGACACATGAGGACGTTGCAGGGGTGCAGCCCCCCCTCCAGGTACAGCTGCTTGATCTCTGACAGGTGGATGCCGCCCAGTGGAGTCTTAGGAAGAGTGTTAGCGGGGACCAGAGCGAGGCAGAACACGCCCACGCCGTGGATACTGTCAATGGCCTGTTGACCAGAGAGAGAGAGAGAGAGTGTGTGTGTGAGAGAGAGAGAGGGTGGGAGGGGCCGTCAGAGGAAGGTGGGATTATCTGCTGATGCGTAATTATTGTGAAATTATGGCTTAACCTTTGTGTTGTCTTTACCTGACCCACCTTTGCTAAAGCTCTAAAATAAAGCTGCTTTATTGAATTTTGAACCTAAATCTGTTCTGCATGAAGAAAGCACCTGTCAGTCATCACAAACACTATGGCAACTCTTTTGTTAGGAGAGAGTTCACAGTTTGTTCTTTAGGTTAGTTTGAAAATGAACAATAATTCACACAAGAACTGAATCTTTGTTAATCTTCTGAACTAAAAAAAGAGACAGAAATTGAAGTGTTTAATGGGATAAGTGGAATGATTACAATAATGTGAAAGGTGATGTACCTGCAACACGCGGCTCATCCACTGGAAGCTGTCCTCCTCGGTGGAGTCAGGTCTCTGCTCTGCCACGACCACAATCCTCTCGTCCCTAAGCACCGTCACAGAGAACACCGCTATCCTGCAGGACGGAGGAGAAAAAACATGACTCAGTGCAGCCCTCTTTTACACCTCATCTTCTTTTTATCTATTTCATTATACTGTAGCCTTAACTGGAAATAAGACTGGCTAAAAAAAATGGTTACATGTAAGAAAGTCATTTTATAAGCTGATAAGTCTCTATTGATTCCTGTATCCATCCAGAGTGAGGATGTCTAGCTAGTTTATTCCCCTAAATACCTCAAAGTGAATCTGAGTGACAGGTTAGTGATAAATGATGGGCAACCAGATAAAAAATATCAACAACAGTTTGATCACACATTAGCAGTACATATTTTTGCACGCACACAAATGTGATTGTCTCTGCAGGGGCATTTCACTCTTTTCCTTTGAGCTCATGTGACAAAATACTTGTTGCAACGCTGCATACAAAAATGCATCTTTTTTACTTTATTTAATCGTCCTTGTTGGGTACCTAAGATACAAATTTGGCATCAGGAAATGGTTGGTAGAAAAGTGTTTAGAACTAGACTACAGGAGCCTTTAGTAAGTGATTTAAGATGTTTTTTCTATAGATCAAGCTTTAAGTGTAAGAATAACTTACACTGAAACACAGGTGTGATGAAAATCAATCATTATGTGTAAAAGATGTTGGATGTTTGATTAAAGGTTGTTTCACTGCAGAGGGATTAGAGTTTGTTGGATGCAGGTGTTGTCCTTAATTCACTCCACATACTGCAGTGTACTTTCTATTGATTCTGCCTTAAAGCCGAGCTGCAGCAGATGTAAACACAGGTTCAGTTGTGTACAGGGCAGAGTGAACGAACAAGAGAGGAATGATATTCTAATCACACCACAAACACTCGGCTGGTTTTATAGTAAGCAAACAGTGGTTCTCCAGTGCTGGAGGTAATAAAACATCAAGAACATGACAAACACAGGCAGACACTTCAATATGACAGGGACTGAGCTTTGCATGAGCGGCCAAACAGCAGACTCATTTAATCCCATTCCCAACTTTTTTCTATTCATTTTTGATTGTTAATGTAAAAAGTGTTGATGTCACAAGCTGTGATTTCTGTGTTGTACTTTATAGATTACAAATAAACTCATCCTCCAGCTTTAAAACCTTGAATTTAGCCAGATATGGAATTTCCTCAAATGGCCAGTAGGTGGCAAATCCACTAATTGTAAAAAAGAAGTCGGATTATATACGAGTCGATGAGAAAATTTGCCAACTTCTTCCTCTGTTAACATTTTCTTAGTTAGTTTATGGTATTCATGGATGGCCTAGCAGTTGAGTCAGGCTGCAGTCCTCGTTGCAGCGGTTCTGGGTTCGAATCCCCCATGAGCCTTTGCTGCCTGTCACCGCCCACTCTCTCCTCCCAACATTTCCTGTCTCTCTTCAGCTGTCTTATCCGAAAGTCAAAAATAAAGCTCATAAGTATTTACTAACTCCTCACTCCTCTCCAGCTCCACCCTCGAGTCCAAATATGGTCAGCTGAGCTCAACGCCTAAGGATACCTTGGAAGGAGCTGGGAATTGTTGATGAGAGAGGGCAACTTGAATATCTCGCTTAGCCTGCAGACAATGCAATGTGGCTCTTCATAAGTTGTAGAACATGAGTGAATTAAAAAGTCCATTGACTTAAACTGTCATTGGCCATTTTAGCAGACGGATGTCTCACAGCCAGCATCATACTTTAAAGATAAAAATAATATGCTGACACTTAAAATCTAAAATGTGATCTAGTTTTAATCAATGAAGAGAAATATTGTTTTTCCTCTGAGGTATTTCATGTGAAGTGAGTAACAAAGTCAATGTTCATCATTCTCTCATACCTCTAGTTAAGATCAGCGTATTAAACGGACTAATGCAGTACAATCTTTCTATAAGTTCTTGCTTCGACTGCTTAATTTATTTTACAGGGGACAAGCCATCAGACCCCTCTTTATACTTTAAACGTCATCAGACTCTGTCAGCTAAAAGATGAATTTCCCCCTCGGTGGTCTTGGACACAATTAAACTTTCCCCTATTACTGTTTCTGGATGCACCCACTATTGCTCTACTTTATTAGATTTATTATGTGTGGGATGATTGCTCGTTAATCATCACGACAGTAAATGTTTCAGTATTGGACATCTGGCTGGTTTTCAACTACTGTTGAAGGGAATGATTAAAACGTGGAGTGACTTCTGAACGCTCCCCTGGGTGTTCTGCTCCACATGTGAGACCATAAAATAAAGAGAACAGTCTCCCACTCTCACCTGCCCCTGTAGACGAATTTCATTGGCTCCACTGCCAGTGCCGTGGCGACAATGTCGTCGGCGTTGTGCCTCCGCCCGCTCACCATAATGAGGCCGTCCATCTTGCCTGTGATGAAGCAGAGGCCGCCGGGGCCGATGAATCCCAGCAGGCCAGTCCGCACGAAGGCATACTCGCTGATCAGCCCCCCAGTGGAGCTCACCGGGTAAACCTGCAAACAGATTTTTAATCGAGGACTTCTTATTGACTTGCCACACTGCTGCTCTTTATAAGTGAATGTTTTAAGCCAACTGTAAAGGAGTCCACTCCAAAAAATATCCCTGCTGAATGTCACAGTTTATTTCACATCGAGAAAAACTCAATTTAAGGTAGCTCAAGATATTTCAGGATTCATGTCAAATAAAAGAGTTTTTAATGTGAAACACAAACGACATATATCTTTGTTGAATTAAAATTGTCTGAGTTCAGTAACTAATGTACATTTTACTAAAATGAGGGACGTCTGTTTTAAACAGACGATAACAAGCTGAAGGAGGCGCCGTCATGTCACTGTTGACATTTGCTGAATTTGAGATAGATCCTGTATTAATATTCAGAATGTCAAATATTATACTTTGAAGTTAGTTTGTATTTTGCAAGCTCACCTCAAAGGTGTTCTTAGTCATGCCCGTGAGGCCGTAGTAGGAGGTGCCGGTGGCGATGGAGCAGACACAGAGCTCACCGATCTCATCCGTCTGACAGAGCTGAGGGACGCCTTCTGGTTTCACCACACACACCAAACCTGAGGGGCGAGGGAGAGCGAGAATACAGGGTCAACATCTTTGAAATATCTTCTCTTGCCAGTATGCCAACATTATTTTCCACACAGGGGAAACAGAGCAGCGTCATCTGCTCCACATGTACCTGTTCATGGGAATAAACTGAGTTAACGTCACAGTTTGAGCTTAAAGTAGGTTCTTCTGACCCAGATATGACATCTACTCATGTCTGGGTCTACCCAAAACCAGGTTACCCAAGGAAGTAGGGAATGAGAACTAAAGCAGGTAACACTTCAAAATCAGGAGTTCTTGCAAGAATATTTTATTGTCATTTTCACAACAAATAATACACATAATTGATCTGTGAGGATTTATAAGGAGTTATAGATCAACATGTGGTTTACATTTCAAGATGTTTAATCTTCTGTTTTTAGATGGATTTTCTCTTATTGTAAGGCTGATCAGAAACACTACAACAGCAAAGCCAAAGGCTTGTTTTCCAGGTGTTAGTCAGGCTGTAGTTCCCATGTCTACCACTGAGTGGTGCACTTTGACAGCAACATGACGTGTCTGTTCTGCAGAGAGGAGCTCAGAGTTTGTGACAGTGATGTTTGACTCGCTGCAGCAGTCTGAGTGTTTGATCAGCAGGGTTTACACACGTCTTTCTGCAGATTACTGCCTGCTTTATGGATTATAAGAGACAGACTTTCACTTTCTCATGTGTGAATTCTTTTTTTACGTCATTCGTCTGCAATAACAAAAATCATTTGACGAATAAACAGCTTTCCTTACTGATGATGATGGAAGAAAAGGGCTTGATTTAAATCATATTTATCTCTTTCATCTGTTATTTATTCTATGCCTGAAAGTTTTGGGATACACTGCATGTTTCTTCAATGGGTAAACACAAACGGTATTTAAATCTTGTAATGCTTTCATCTATGCTGCTCTTGTTTCATAACCAAGAGTGCAACTCTTACTCCATATCTGTTCATACTTATTGAGGTATAGCTTTCATTTATTGTTCATAGGCTTTTTAAAACTAAAGTTTAGAATAAAGTTATATTTAATAATTACTGTCTTTTTATATTCCTGCTGTCATTTTCACCAGGGCCTTAGTTCCTAACATGTTTTATTATTCATTATAGGAATATAAATACAAGGCACATAAAGAAAACATAAAAGCATGAGAGTGGGTGCGGTAGAAGCTTACACATAGCTCGTATGAAAACCACATGTTCAGGAATTACAAAAAAGCCTTTTCTTAAATCCTGTAATAATAGCAGCAAATCATCTTTTAAGTAACGTTCATCCATAGTTGTCCACTTGTTTATCATCGTGTTAATTGATAGTCTTTAAAGTAATTTTGAAAATAGGTGCTTTGTTGTCTTTGTAGGATATGTAACAGATTTTTGGGATAAATTGTTTGAGAGATTAAGAATTTAATCTGTAGACTTTGCTCGTGTAAATGCGCCCTGACTCATTGATGTCTATAACGCTGTTAATCCTGCAGGAGAGCAAGAGCCGAGTACCAGAACCAAATGGATATGTAAATGAAGGAGGTTGTAGGACAGGACAGGGCTGTGTGTGTGTGTGTGTGTGTGTGTGTGTGTGTGTGTGTGTGTGTGTGTGTGTGTGTGCATGGCTTCTTTACTGCTTTATATCAGTATCTCTGTATAACAGGGTTCACTGTTGTTCGTGGACTTTTCATTAGGAGCTGAAAAGATGATTTATTAGGTCCTAAAAGCTTCTTTATGTCCTCAATCACCTTGTTAGAACTATCACTGTGACTTTGTCCCTTGATGACAAAAGACGGCTGCCATATTGAAAACTTTTGTTGAATCGGTATTGAAGCACGTAACTCGTTTGGTCAAGAGGAGAAAGAGGGCTCTTAAAATTGGACATTGATGAAAAGGAGAGGCTGCACATTTACACGCCCTTAAAACTAATTTTACGATTTGATGGACTTAATGGAGTTTTTGCTTTTCAGTGCGAGACGACGCTGAGGGCCGACAGTTTAACTCTTCAGAGGAGGAGAGAGCTCAGTGGTCACTGCCTTCAACATTAACACACAGAAAACACACACCTGTATGTGTGTAATTAGCCTTCATTTGATTCTGACTGTTAAAGGAATATAGCTGCAAGGTTGTGATACATAACAAGATTTTAACTGGTGAGTAATCTCCGTTGACAACACACAAAACAACAATCAATGACAAGGTTGGAATGTTTCAATATTATTAACATGAGACACTATTGATCAAAGCAATACTTTTCACACTCAGCTTTGTTGTATAAAAAAACGACGCAGATAAAAAGAAATGAGATCTCAAATTTTAAACAATGTTGTAAATTTTCTGATCACAAGCAGCTGGCACTCGCAACTTTGTTGCTAAGAGCCATCACAACAAAAACTAAACAAGAAGATCATGAATAGGAACAGATATTGACTGATTTGTGTCATTACCTTCTTTTCAGTGTTTGATGCTTTTAACATTTCAGCTGGTACCAAAACACTTTTGGTGCTTCACTAGGAACACAACTTGAGATGCAATTTATGATCACACATTTCACATTTGTAATGCAACTCTCAACTTTAGAGTGCTCAAAGTGACAAGTTGGAAACGTACCATTGAAGAAGCGTTTCTCTTTTTCTTTACCCTCAGAGACTGCCTCCATTTTGCAGAACTTTAACTACCGTAAAACTTTTATGAATAACCCGGGCTTATATTTAAAGTTTTACGGTATTATGGTTTATGAGGCTCGAGATAACCACAACCAGATATACAGCACAAACATTTTGTTTTAACCATCAACATGTAAAATCAAAAGTATTAACTCTATCATAGTATGCCTCCTTCATTTGTGGAACAAAAATCTTCTTTCTTAAAACTCCACCTTCAGTTAAAATGTCTAATCTTTTAACTCAACCCTCACCTTAAGCAGATCATACAGATCATGATTCTGCAACAACGCTGAAACAAAGTCCTGCCATCAGTAAGACTTTGTACTTATACACGCATCTGAAATGGCGTAATAGTGGCTTCCCGGTGTGTGATTTCACATCGCAATACGGTTTTTCGAGAAAGGATGAACAGTGGGAGATTCAAATACACAAACATTCATTCTGTATCTGCACACACAGACTGTTCCGCCATGCCGGCTCTGATGTCACACATCGTCAGTGTCGTCACTACACAACCGCACATTGTAGACAAGGCATAAAAGGGGCGTACATATCCCAACATAAACTGGCAATTTGTAAGCAACTTTAGACACCAACACACACACACACACACACACACGTACCTCCAGGCGTGACAGTCCCCACGTCCTGCACGGTGAGCACTGAGAGGCGTTCTTCTGTGTCGACCCTGACGACCCCGTATGTCAGACCCTGCATGGAAAGAACGCCTCGGCCTGGAGGCTGACTGCTGTCCTCCACCGGCCTGAACACAAAACACAAACACGCAAACACTATCATTAATCTGCACTACACTGATGAACTAACAGAACAGAGCTGCAGTGCAGATATGGACATTCACACAGTGTGGTGTTTGTTTAAATGTTTGTCATTGAGCAGCTTTTATGTGATGACTTGTGTACACACTATGAGTGTAAATGAATGTCTGCGTGTGTGTGTTTGATTGTGCAGCATCATCCTGCTCTGTGATTGGTTGATTAGTTGTTGTGCTGTGATCACAGTGTGTGTGTGTTGCAGAGGGAAATGGACTTCTCCTCTTTGTGTGTATTTGAATATGCGTGATTGTGTGTTTACAGGATGTACCTTATGTGGGTGTGTTTGAATAGGTGTGTGTGCATGAGACTGTTTGCATACTTCAGTGTGTGTGTGTGTGTGTGTGTGTGTGTGTGTGTGTGTGCACATGCAGATGTTTGCATAATCAGTGTAGGTAAATCAGAGCTCAGAGCTTGTGTGTGTATATGTGTGTGTGTGTGTGTGTGTGTGTGTGTGTGTGTGTGTGTGTGTACCTCCTGATGGCCACCGTCAGGGCCTCAGGGGAACTGGCGCAGGGACAGATGACGTCGGCTCTCAGCCCTTTAGTCTGAAAGACGTTGAGGAAGGCATCGCAGGAGGAGATGGACCCTGACGGACAGAAACACAAACAAACTGTCACAAATGTTTCAGCTCAGGAGATGAAACACTTCTACACAAACTGCTGATGTTAAACAGGAACTCAGACTGCCCTTCATTTATGTTCTTAACCAATCTGTCTGCATCAAATATATCAGCTCATTGATCAGGACAGTTACTGATAATGGTTTCAATCTAAATGCCTCTACTTACAACATTGGAACTTTGAAAAAATCGACATAAGACCAGAGGTTGATAATTACTTATTGTAAAGTACCGGGTGCTAGAATGGTTGGAAAGTCGCTGTTAAAGTCTCTAACCATGTGTTGTACTTTGTATGAGCATCATATGAAATTTCTTTCAAGTTGTTTTGGGGCTTTTTTCCTTTTTTAGAAAATCAAAGCTCCGTCTTTAATCTTCATTTCATACTGACAGTAAAAAAGTATGTTACAGACTTTGTTTTACAGTACTCAATAATGCTGGTAAATTACTGAAATCAAATTGATTTCTTTTTCAAGGTTTCTAATAATTGTATTTTATTTTGAAATCTACCTGAAGCAGTTTTTCCACCATCCTCCGTTTGATTTAATATTTTTCCACCTCTGAGAGCCTCTTCATTTGGTTTGTGTACTCGATGTGAACACTCTCAAAAATAATTTCCACTCGAGGGTCCACTTCATGAGGTGATTTTATCTGCATCAGTCTCCATCAGTGGATTGAACTCAGGTGTAGGTTGAGTGTGCTCATATTTCAAAAGCTGCTTACAGTCAAAGTGTAGTTTATAACTGGGACACAGCTCTTGAAAACAACTGATGAGCTAACACGGGCTGTTTCATAAGGATGATCTAATAATATATGGTTTCTCTTTGATTGTTTGAAGGTTTCATTAAGGTTGTTTTCTAGGATCAGTTAAATTAAAATGATATTGAAACCTGTTTTGATACCACTTCAACAAAAATAAAAGTCCTAGGCAGTCAACGTTGTGTCATTTCTAGTTTTCGATTATTAAGTATGAAAAGTATTGAAAATGTTGACAACAGTAGTTAGAGTAAGGACTAAAAATTGCAAAACTACAAGAAAAGACAGAAATTCTCTGGTTTCTAAAAGTAATTTTTGAGTCTTTTTTTCCTTCCCAGTCATGCTTAAAATCATTTATTGTCCCAAATGTTCGTAGTCGGACACCTTCTGCTCTATTCCTGTAAAGTGACCCAGTTTGCTGAATCCCTGGAGAGTTTATCCACTTCTCTGACATTCTCTATCTCAGATACACCTCTCTAAACTCTGCTGTTAGAGAAAAACGCTCGGCTGTGGAGGCTCAGTGTGACCTTACAGGGGTTTGATCCGTCGGCCACCAGCAGCATGCGCAGCGAGCTCAGGTTGATGTCTTTCTGGTCTTTGTGGGCGACCAGAGCCCAGTGCATGTCTCTGGACTTCACACAAGCTACCTTAGCTGCAGGGAGAACACACACACACACACACACACACACACACACACACACACACACACACACATAGAGAGAGAAGGTGAGGACATTAGCATTTAATCTGTTTGACTGACAGCTGAATGGAGAGAAATGACTGAGCAGAGTGGCAGGTGGAGTGTGAGTCTGACCTTTGTACTGGCACACTTTCTGGATCCATGACAGAGGGTTGACCTTCATCAGCGAGTAGGGGACGCTGATCACGTGCATCATGTTCATCACACTCTGCACAATGCGGGCACAAATAATGACACATCACTGCTTAAAGCTAAAAGGGTTAACTCAAAGGAATCATATTGCAGATAAACTGACAAATACATTTGATTTAAAAGGAAAAATAATCCAGAGTGATGGAAACGGAGAGGTTTTTGGGCTCGTATTTTTTCTCTTCTGGCAATTTGTCTCAAATTCGAGCAACATCGAAGCTTAAGGCAGCGTCACTGTGTTTAGCTCAGACTCAGACAAACTGCCAGTTATCCGGAGCCAGCAGACCAGAGACATCTGAAGGGATTGCACTGGATCAGAAGATCTAAAACTTTCTGTGGTTTGTGGACCAGAAACAGAGTTTCTTAGTTAACTCTGTGAAAAACTGGAACATAGTGTATCCCATAACTTGATATATATGCTGAGATTTTTTGGATAATTTTTTACACTTTGTAGTAACAATCTGGATGAGCTGAAGCTGTCTATTTGCTCTCGTAGACAGACCTGAGCAGTTTATTAAAGTAGTGCAGACTGCTAGCCAACACTTTTTTTTTTTTTTTTTTTTTTTAATATTTGGGGGAAATGAGAGGAAAGGACAGTGGATTGAGGGGATGACTTGCAGTAAATGTATAAGTGTGAGAGTCAAACAAGGGGCCCGATGATGCGAGGGCTGTAGCCTCTGAACATTTACAATTTGAACAATTTAGCCAGTGAGAAAAACCGGTGCCCTGTACCAAGAACTTTATGGGACTGGACCACTGTGGCTACATTTATCATGATTTATTACAAATGCATCACTATTTATCAAGTTTTAATTGCACTTAATTTTTCAGTTATATTTTTAGCTTTTTGCAGTTCAGAAAATAAATGTATTCATTGTTAGATTTATATCTCATAGTATGTTTATGAATCTTTGCATGTGTCTGGGTGCATAAACACATTTTTATGTTACTATCCTTCCCTCTCTAATCTTTGGGTTGCTGCTGGTTGTTGTTGTTTTTTTTACATATAATGGCAATAATGTGTCTGTGTGTCTATTTTTGCTGATTCTTTTATTACATTTTTACAGGCGACTGAACTCGGTGTCCATGATAACACTGAGGTCTTACCGTCAGGATGCCGTGCCACAGGCCTACGTCCTTCTTAAAGTCCAGAACGTTCACGATGGTTTCCGCTACAAAGAGGGAGAGAAAATTGTTAGATGTCTACTTTATGACCTTGGCACTGAAGCATGTCTGTGTCTGTGTGAGAATGTGTGTGTGTGTGTGTGTGTGTGTGTGTGTGTGTGTGTGTGTGTGTGTGTGTGTGTGTGTGTGTGTGTGTGTGTGTGTGTGTGTGTGTGTGTGTGTGTGTGTGCGCGCTCTCATACCCTCAGTGTAGCTGCAGGACTGTGTGAGAGCCTGGCTGTGTGTGAGCAGAGCGATCCTCGTCACTGTGACTCCCAGCACGCTGCCGTCTTTACAGGTTTTATACTGCCACACAAACAACAGACGATCAGATTTTAAATGATGAGTTGAAATTGTCAAGTTCTCTGTAGAATTTCAAAAAAATCTTAAAATGCAAATTAATGAATGATTACAGAACTCCCATGATTCCCCGCTAGCCTCAACGTCATCTTTTGTTATTGTAATATTGATTGAGAGCCCCCATGGCGGCGGAATCGACATAGTGTATCTTTAACAAACTATGTTTTAAATAAACCAAAAAACATAGTTCACTTTTCTGTAATTTAGCTTTTTAAGTCATTAAATCTGGAAAAGCTGCAGCACAACACGACTCAAACAGCAGCGGTTGATAAGGAAACCAGAGGAATGTTAACCTCAGTCATCAGACAGACTGAAGTCCCAGCTTGTGTTGAAGTTTCCTCCAACACGTCTTCATTGTGTGGTTATTAGCTCACCTCTATGTAAGCGGTGTCGTTGTTTGCATCTTTGATGTGAGGGAACCAGTCTCTGGGAGGTTTGGAAAGGTGCTTCGATTCAGTTACAAACCACAACAACTTGGGCCAACCTGCAGGAAGAAGAGGCCAAAGTGAGGGAAAGTTCATTCTTCTGTTCAATTTAATTAACAAAGTCAGACACATATTCACACCCCTGACACAAGCACTTTGTATCTGAAATTCAAATGGTCCATCTGTTACTTAAATACAAGTCAAAAAATTAAATTCACAGTTCACATACTACAATTACTGTGAAGAACTTTTGGTTTGTTTTCTCTTTTGCTTCTGTAGGTCTAAAAGAAGCATCAGCATTCATTTCAGCCTGTTTCATAAGCAGATAAAAATCCCTCACAGGAGCTTTGATTAAAACATTATAGAAATAAAAACAAAATTTCCCTTTAATGTTTTTTATGTAGCGTTATGATTATTTTGAAGTTTGGGCCCCGAGAGTCCACATCTCTGCCTCTTTTTCTTTAGCGTTTTCATTATGTGCACTGAGACAGACTTCCCCTCCCCCACAGAGAAACATCTTTCACGATTCAACGGTGATTGATGATTTTCACTCTCACCTTTGAACTGCGGGATCTCTCCTGTTGCGCTCTTGGGCAGGCCTTTGTGACAGGCGTCACTGGTCAGCGCCACGGTAACCCCACAGCTGCCCAACAAGAAGCCAATCTGCTGACTGCCAGCATCCTATTGGAGGATAAAGGTTCATTAAAAACTGTAGAGGGTTAACGTTTTACAACTCATCAGTTTTGATTTAATGACTCCTAATAGTTTTTATAAATGTGCAGGTGGACGTGTTAGCTGTTTGTCAGGAGGCTATCCTCCCTCATCTCCACCTCTTTGCCTGTTTCTAGACTGATCGAGAGTTAGGATGGTATAACATTTCCAAAATGCCGTCTATTTTAAGGTCTTCATAACGCCTCTTCAGAAACCAAAGAGTGATGTCATTGAGACTACGTCCATGTTTCATACCATTTATAGATGATAAATCAAATGTAGGAAAAGTCTTCTTCTTGCGGATGTTCTTCAATCACAGACAAACATGAAAACTCTTTTTTTTAGCTTCTATTTATCATGATGATTTAGAAAAAGGGAAAGGATATAAAGGATTTTTTATCTACTTTTCCAAAACCATGCCACACAAAACAACGGCTTAAACAAAGAAAGCCATGAACACCTTGACTCATTAGTTTTCATTTGCTTTTTAACCTTGTAGTTGTCTGTTAACATGCAGCCCAGGTGAAGGTATGAGAGGTAAGATTTGCTGCAAAGCTGCCGCTGTGATTCTGCAGCCAAAAGAGATATTTTATGGAAAATCCTGCAGCAGAAAAGCAGGGGTGACCAACGTGCAGCAAAAGACATTTTCTGCTGCAGCATTAACCGCCGTGTAACCATGCCGACCCTACACTCACAGTGCTGCAAGGACGAGCCGCCATGTCTCACACAGGCTCCAGAGTGAGCAGAAACTGTTAAGTGATATAGCCAGCGGCTGAAAAAAATATATATAACAGGCATTTTGTTTTTCAGCTTTCAGAAACCTTTCTGACGGTGTCGGGGCTTCTACCCTTCAGACATGTCAGGTGTGAGGAGGTGATGACTCACAGATCTGCAGCTGTGACCTGAGAGATGACAGGATTCTGTGTGTGATGGCGGGGCAGCAGGAGGGCTTGTTTCTGGCTTGTCACACTTATTGGGTCTCTGACTTGTTTTTCTCCTCTGTACCAGTCGCAAGTTTTTTCAGAAATACTTGATGCAAGCAAACAACTTAAGACTGAAGAACAAAAACACTCTGAGCTCAGGCCCAAAGATTTCGTCTGGAGCCAGAAAGACAGAAACTGCCCAATAACATGATGCCCAGGGTTTCTTTGAGCTAGCAGTGCTATTAGAAATGCTTAAGTATGGTAAGCTGGCTGGCAGTTTAGCAACACCAAACACAACAGTGAAAACCACAACATGGAGGATTGTGGTCGTAGCTGTGTTTTTGTTGTGTATTGTTGGTTTTTAGGATAATAAAAAGAGATTTGAGATTTGAATTTTATTTCCTTTTGTCCAAGGTTCCTTTAATAGACTGTTCTGTTTTTATAAGATGGCTGTTGTTGGTGAGAATTCAATCTCAAGCAGGAGCTCAAACAGTCCAGACAACTTTCTGAGATTTGTGATCCTTCCTTGTTATTGTGATACAAAAAGACAGGTTTATTAAACTGTATTTACAACTTAAAAAAAACCCTCCTCCGGTCGGAAAATGTGTAATATTTCAACAGCTTGCAGAAATACAGACATTTCCTGACATAGAACAGAAGTGAAATAAAACACAGCAGGCGTTTGGAGAAGCTGACTTCGAGGTAAAACACAGATTGTGGCTGAAACAGAGAGGATTAAGGATACACTGCTGCGCTTTGAAAAAATAAAATTACCTGACCTTCCACAGAGAAACTAATCCTGTGCCTGAATGAAAATATAGGAAGGGGACTGGGCGGCAGCAGCGTACGATCCAGATAAGCTACAGACAGACTGTTAAAGATATTTTTACAGATGGATTGGGATTTTAAAATGTACCTTGCGACTTAGAGGGACCTCTATTGGAACAGGGACCACCTCTGCCAGCAGACAGCCATAAAAGGCCACCATGAACGCCACAGGGTCGTTGTTTGGAAACACCAATGCCACCTGAGGGAGGGAAGGGCGACAGAGACGGGTGAGAATCAGCCAATGCTTAAATCTCTGCAGCCCGATACATAAGTTTCATTCTCAGTAGTCTGAGAGCTACGAGTTGTTATTAAGTTACCATAGCATTTATCTGAAGGCTAAATACAGCTGGTGTTTATTAAGTTTGCTGGATGACTCATGTTCTCTGCCATTGCTTTGCAAACTGTTGAAAGTAATACAATGAAGAAAATTTAATCACTGTTTTGATAAATATAAGGAGGTTGCCATGTCATTCTGTCTGTGTTCAAAAGAATCATTTGACTTTTGGAAGACATCCTCATGATCTTTTTGCTTAGAGTACGATGGTAAAATCAACACCAGTCTCACATCCATCCATTAAGTTCAGTATGTTTCATTGGCATGAACGTATAAGAGACAATGCTGCAGAAACTTCATTTATCTATCTCTTCATCTACTTATTATTATGAATCTGGGGTTTTCAGAGAATTAGCCTAGCTTAGCATAACACTTCTTATGAACAGATACAATTTAACAACATACTAAGTGTTAACAGGCCAGTTTTAGAGGTGCAGGTAGTTCTAGCAGAGTCTGTTAATGTGGAGAAGAATCAGGTTAGCTGTTTCCACCAGTTTGCAAATACATACAAAAAAACACAAAATTTGGCATTTATGTGGGCTGCCAAAAAGAATTGAAACACAACATGTGGCCACAGAGACATAATATTGTTTTTTTTATTCAAGTATCTTGCATTGATGATTCACTGCAGTCCAATTTGGACTAACAAAAAAGGCAATGTCACGAGCCTAAAAAGGTCGGAAAAGTAAAAACCGAGGGATTTTTCTTTTAGATGAGGGGCGAGCGTGACTCACCCGATCACCTGGCCGAACCATCGGCTCCTGCTTGCTGCCCAGTTTGTGGAGGATGTTGTAGGCAAGCTTGATACTGCGAGACCACAGCTTTCCTGCAGAGAGAAGGACACAGGATACAAATGTGTCAGTGTGTGTGAGAGCGAGGGAGTGTGTGTGTGTGTGTGTGTGTGTGTGTGTGTGTGTGTGTGTGTGTGTTGTTGGATTTCTATTTTGAGGACAAAGTCGATCAGGGGAAAAGAAAAACAACCTAAAGTGACATTTAAGACTTTTAAGCAGTCGGCAGAGGTACCAAGAGAATTGGTCCTGTTTACCTGGATTATACTTAAAAGTGAGTGTTGCCTAATGCACTTCAGGTGGACAGGTGCAGGAAAATATGAAATATTCTTTACAGAAAAACAAAATAAAAGTGCTTAATTCCCTGCTGACAGTGTGCTGGAGCTAAGCTCTCCTTTTGCATGATTTTATTTTCCAGCACACCTGAGCACCATGAACTTAGTGTGATGACAGATTATCCTGAAGAGAAGGACAGAAATACACTTCATGTTTGTAGTCACAAGTATTAGTTGTTATGTAATTACAGGTTTGGAAATATACAGTCCAAAACCTGTAGCTGGGACGACCAATGCAGAAGTGTTTCAGATTCTTTACATTTCAAAATGTGTTCATATGTTTTGCGATTTCAGCCTGTGTTTGATTTAAAAAATATATTTTTAGACACTAATTGCGCCGTTTATTTGCGCCCTTCCCCCTGACGTCATACACAAACTTTCCAGTGATCATGAAAACAATTCCACCTCTGTATGACTTTACAATAAATGATCTGTTGATAAAGTCTGTAGATATTACTTTGACATTACTATTATTAATTTTATAAGGTCTTTAATTATTTTCATTAACAACGTCTGTGGAGAGGTTCAGAGCCGTTACAAGGATACCAGTTCTTAAAGTAGAAACATTCACAGTGACTCGTAGTGAGTGCAGCAGCAGACGTAACTTAATTAGCTGATTTTACTGTTAACCAATAAAGTGTCTGTTTGAACTAAAGTAGCGTCTGGTTACCATATGTGAGGACGTAGAGGGGCTTCCCTGCTGTATCCAGGCTGGTGAGGCAGGGGGCTTTAGGGGAGATGGTTCCCCAGCGTTGGAGCGCAGCCTCCAGGGACGGGGGCCAGTTGGTGACCACCCCCAGTGCCTCTCCTCGAACTGGCATCATCTCCGCCCCCTCCGGCCGCGGCTGGTTGGGGTCTGGCTGCTGGACTGGAGGTCAGAGGACAGATAAAGTCGTCAGCTTTCAGGAGCAGTCAGCTCACAAACCTTTTTCTGTTTGCTCCACAGTTTGTTGGCTGGTTGTGGAAACAGCTCATGGAATCATTTCATACAGGGAGCTGTAAAGAAGCTGTAATCACACTGTTATACACTGATCCTTAATTAAACTTGCCTGTTATCAACACAGATGTAAAATGGAAATGCAAAATATAAGACAGGGCTGCTGTTGGTGTTAATGGAAAGTAATGGGTCCAAAGATTTGAAAACTAGTATGTGTATGTAACATACTCATAGATCATAGAGCTGAAGTGCAATACTGTGGTGGGTGCGATGACTGTCAATATATGACACCTTATGAGACTGTTCTACTTTGAATACTAACTATCATTATTTATCACTACTTGTTACATTTTAATTGCACTTAATTTTACAGATTACAGACTGATTGTATATCTTATAGTAAACATATGAACATGTGTATGGGTGAATATACACACTCTAATGCTGCAATAGAATGGCAGAACATGAAAGTGCACAATATTAAGTATAAAGTAAGCAAAGTAAGGGAGGTATTTCAGAGTCTAAATGAGTAACAGGTACAAAAGGCTTTGAAACTGGTCTGATTGCTCCATTAGCTGGCAGAAGAGAAACAGACTCACATCCTTATTTTAAGTGTCCAGCAACATTGTGGAGAAGATCTCTACAGAGATGCAGTTTTCAAATCTCTATCAGCTACAAGACTCCATTGATAAAAACAGTAATTTCACCTTCACTACACAGGAGTAAGTGGGTGCTTTAAATCCCCTGGCTGGCTGAGAGAAGGCATCTGACGGTCAGGATTTGGCAGGATTCAACTTTGAGCCATTGTCATCAAATGTGAATACAGAGTGCCAGAAAAATAGTTTTCCATGCAAGGAGACGGTACATTTTCTGAAATAAAAGGTCCTCTAAACACAACACTTCAAGACAAAGATAGAAAAAGCAGCCAGATGGTGAGAGCAAAGTAAACAGGAGACAGACGAGACGATCTGCAGACATCTCTGAGCTCAAGAAAAATATATTAATTTGAAGGTTCTTAGTGAAGAACTTTGAGTCCTTTCAGGAGCAGTCAGATCAACATCTGGACCCTGTTATCTGTGATGTTACTCCTTGGATGGAGTCATTCTTTAGACTGACATTAAGGGTGTTAGGCAGATGTGGAGGTACAGGATGGTGTGAAAACATCAACATTAAAAGTGAAGCAATTTAAGGAGTAACGCTTGCTGACTAGAAAGTGAATACACTTTTCAGAACTATAAAGAAGATCTATCGTGTCATAGTTTCGCTTTTAGTGGAGACGCTTGCGTTAACATTAACAAGAAAAACTGAAGAGATTCTCAGAGTGCAGGAGCAGGCGGATTGGGTTCTCTCCCTCTGCTCTGCGAGTGCTACTGCATTATCTCTCCGACCTTCATTGATGCTGATTCTTTTCTTTATTCAGCCCCACCGCCTCTCAAGCATCCACCAGCAGGCTCTGACTTTAGTCCCAGGGGAGAAATATCCGCTATCATCACTCCACAATCTTTGTCTCTGTGCACAAGCTCATGCTGCAGGGAGCCATGATGCCAAGATGGCGAACGTACTGAATCTACGAGGCTGTGCTGTATTTAAATGTGAATAAACTTTATCTGTGTGGAGCTATCAACAGTTTAAAGGTACAAACTATTACAAATACATTTAAATTACAAAATGTAAAAGCAGTAAATCGTCAAATTTTAGAAGCTGGAACAATGATTGTATTTTGCATGGTTTTAAAAATATTAGAAAATTACTGCCAATTAAATTGTATTGTCACTCAACATACTATTTCAGCTGTTGCATAGCTGAATTATTTCGTACATATTTTGTAACATTTTTCATGTTTCAAAGCAAAAATCTTAATAAGTAGTAGAAAATCAGATGAGGGGAAAATGATTTAGATACCTGAAATCACAGTTTAATCAAATTAAATAAGTTTTCTTTATGCATTGAGTAAATAATATTCTACACTCATGGTTGCAGTTAAATCCTAACGCGGGTGTATCTCTCTCACAAGGCCTCATTTTGGAGGGAAGCCGAACCCTGTACAAAAGGACCATGCAGGGTTCTCAAATGTCCAACACAAGACTTTCAGAGAACCATGACTCATGACTCCCGTGTATGAAGAGATAGATTGGAAAAACACAGTGCAACTTAAAAAAAAAAAAAAATCAAACAGACAGAAACACGAGTCATGCAGGATCAAAGACAGTTTCTAACCCTCCAGAAGTTCATCAAAGTCATCGACAAAGAACTCCCGGAGCGGAGGTCTGCGCGGCTGCTTCAGCGTGTTCACGAGCTGCTGGATTTTAGCGGACACACGACTGCTGACTGGAACACCTGTAAGAACCCCAGACACATACACACGCCGTGAGGAAAAAGTTTTGGGGCTTAGTCTTCACAGTGGAAAGGAAGAGTTGAGGCCTGGAAGGCTTGCAAGAGAGAGTCTTGTTTACCTTCTCACTTAAGAAAATCCTTCAAACGTAATGTCTTTTTGGACTAAAATCTCCTGAATTCTGGTCCAAATTTCTAGAAAATTTGGAAAATGTAGTTTAAGATTTAGAAACACTGGGCCTCATTCAGCAGCATTTGTCTAAGTCATATTTCCTATTTTATGTCATATCCAAATGCATCAAATACTCTCAACCTATTCACCCTACTCTCCGACTTCATATTTAAATTCAGTTTAATAGCTGATTGTTTGTTGTTGGGTTGTTTTTTTATTGTTATTTGGTAACCAAACTTGTGCTTGGTAAATTTAACACGCCTGAGCAGTGTGTGTCAGCCACAGAAAGTATTACTTTTATGTCTTCATGCATGTTACCAGGTAAGAACAGCTGCACAGGCTGTGTGATCAGCAGAGCTCAGGGAGAGATCACGGTCAGTTGCAGAACTGAATATCCAGAGATTGTTGACACGAGTCACGGCAGAAATATACATTAAAAATATGTGTACAGTCAGATTGTCAAATTATTTACACCTTTCACTACAGTTTGACTTTCTGTGACTGTAGAAAATTAAAAACTGCCTTAACAATTTAATATTTCTGTCTTAAATATCCTGTGAGGATTTTATGCTGTTAATGAAACAGACTGAAATAAACATGAATACCGCTATTAGCTACAAAACTTAGGCTGAAGATAGATTGATTTTTTTCAGTTTAATTATTTATTTTCCTATCATCCCTGCTGCAAGGTACTGTAGGTTTCAGATGAGGCAATTAACAAAATTTGGCCAAAACAACCTCTTTAAAATCTTTCCGCGACAAACATTCCTAGCGAGTTGCATGTAAGACGTTTAAAATAAAGACGGATGAGATTATTTTTCAGAAAATGTATTTGCAAGAACAGGACGAAATCAGAAAATTATTATGATGTGTCGCTTTTTCCACAGAGTTTGCCCAAATGGACATACCGGTAAGATGAAAGTTCCTCTCAATAACTTCAACAAAAAGTAAATGGAAGTAATGCATTCGATTATTTATGGTGGTTATCCAAGGCAAACTCTGAATAAAGATACAGGGGCGGCAGCAGCAGCAGCACTGCAGCCTCCTATGTGGACTCAGTTTGTTACACGCACTGAGCTCAGCGGAGAGGAGAGTTAACCACGGATGCACTTATTGTGCTGCTGTGCATGAAAGCTTCACAAATAAAAAAAAAAGCAGCTGGTTTAAAACAAAGGATAATATCAGGCTCAGTACGCCAATACCAATATTTTCCAATATGACTAACCTGCCCAGCAATGAGTTGCACCAGCTTAGAGTAAGTTTTAACGTAGCTAGTTTCAACATAAGTTCTTACTTAAATTGAGTTTAGGCTCTACTTAGTACATTGAAGGTGTTGCACCGGCTGAGATAGTTCCAACATCGATAGAAGTTTCATCTTAAGTCTTACACCTAGCTCCTAGCAGGTGTAAAGTACTCTGTTAAATACGGTTGTCAAGGTGACCGTATTGAGAGGTGAGATAACGTGGAGGGTGAGGAGGTAGGGAGGGGTTTAACCCGCTGTTTGGTGTCAGCTTTGCGTTTTCTATAATAGATTACATCCCTCAAAAATGTATAATGACTTTGATTTTACTCGTGCTTTAGTTTTACATGAGCAGAGAAGATGTAATCTGTACACAAAACACTACCGCAGTTCAATAACCTCACGTTGTTGTTCACGACTTTACCACTCCATGTCAGCGTTTTTCTTTGACCCTAGCTGAAGATTAAGGATGAAGGCATTTGGTTTAGTGTGGACGAACTTGAACAGAGCTTGTGCAACGGGCCTCTGATGTTTTATATTAATCAAGGAATCACTTAAAATGAGCTAAATTTGATTCTATGACATTCAAGCTTTTATAGGATCCTATGTTGCTCTATATAAGACAAGTAAAAGCAAGATATTAAGTGCTTTTGTCCCTGATGAATTTCAGGGATCAATTTTCAGCCTAAAAAAGGAGCAGATCGTGGAAACAAACTAAAATAAGAGATGTGGTTGTGTTTCGCTACCCGCATGAGGCCCATGTGTTTCTTAAGCAATTCATTCAATTCTCAGCTTGAATGGACCACAGACTGTGGTCAGTGTGATCAGCTCTCACTTTACTAGCTGTGACTGCGTGATCGTGAAGCATGCTGAAAAAAAACAGAGATGCTCACTCAGCTTTCCTTGAAACATAAAAGGTAAAACAAAAACAAAAAAGACCAATCTGTTCATCCAGGGGAGTGACGTGAACAGACACGGTGTAATTGGTCCGTTCTCTGAGGCGATGGTCCAATTTGAGCTCACCTCCTGATTAAGGAGTTTCTATTTCTGTCCGACTGTCTTCACCATCTTTATTCACAGGCTCCATTTGGGAGCAGCTAAAGGTTCAACAGCAGGAGAAGGGGGGGGGGGGGTTGACGCTTACCATCGCCGGTCTCCATGCGCTCTGCGTTGCCGTACTTCTGTGTGTTCCTAGCGATGGTTCCCATGTTGGACATGTGGTGACGCTCCGTGTGGGTGTGAGACGAGTCGGACGAGTAACCCGTCACATCCGGGGGGGCCGAGTGGTTCTCTGCAGACAGATGGAGAGAGAACAGCAAGAGAGATGTAAACAGTCAAACAGCCAGCGGTGACTCAGATCTATCACTGTGCTCTTTGTCGAGTGTTTTGTTTTGTTGCCATAACGGACAGTTAAACACGTTATGATGATCATTTCTTTGCTCTTTAATTTAGGTCACATTCCTGTCACACACTGGAGATAATGAGGTCTAGCAGGATGGGAAATCTATTCAACACAATACCTGCTCCAAACAATCTCTCTTTGTGTACTCACACTAAAATAAATGCTACATGTTTGATACAACACGTGACATCTCTGAACTAAACTAAAGTATGAGTTAAATGTCACTGTCACAAACTTCAATAACACTTGTAGCAGCTTGTCACACATGAGGTAAATATTACTATCCATTTATAAACTGGCATCAATTCTTCGCCTTAACTTGCTTTTGATGGCAACCACTTATATGAGGTAGTGACAGAAAATAGCATGGACATTCTTTACAAAATGTGATTTTTTAATTTTGCATTAGGGTAATCATGAATGAATAACTGTAAATGTGACCGCACAAGCAATTGATGACGACTTTTTTGGACTCATACTTTCAGCAGAAAACATGTCAATAGTATTGTATTTTAAGTTACTCAAATATAAGATGAGTAAAATGGAAACCATAATTTAAAATAAACCCTTGATTCATGTGCATTCTCAGACTGAAAATAAACTTGGCTTGACCTATAAACTGTCTGTTTTCCTGGGAAGTTAGAAGTCCAAGAAGTGAAAGTAATGTCATTTGTGACTTATATTTAAATACGATGAAATCATTTCTCTAGCCACAGCTTGGTTGGTGTTTACTGTGTCTGTGTTGGACTTACCGTCTGATTCCAGCGGTGGCGGCCACAGCATGTCAGATCCAAACTCACAGGATCGTCTCAGAGATCCTCCGTTCTCTGCGACACTCAGAACTCCCTTCCTTTTTAGAGACAGGTGGCCGATACCTACATGCACACACACAGAAGTAATAAGGTTTATAAATAAAATAACATGAGATTGCAATCAAGTCTTTAAAGTTAGCGTGTAGTTTTAATTGTCATGAGTAAAAACATATGAAGGTAATAAGGCAGCAGCCAAAAAGAAGCAACATTTGGCGTATAAATGAAGATAAAGAGAGTGAGCCTCTCTATTTAGAGCTGGATAATAAAAATGAAACATGTTGCACTTAAGCAATTAATTGTCAACGCTGAATTCAATTGCTAACTCTTTCAATAATCAACCAAGTTTGTAAATCTGACTTGTGAATTTCTGTTTCAAACTGGTTCCAGGTTAATGTATTTGAAGTTGCTGTACTCCTCTACAACACTAAATCGATGACCTTTGGGTTGTGGACAAAACAAGATATTTAAAGATGTTGTCTTAAGCTGTTAAGACACATTAAAAAACGTTTTCTAACATTTCTTAGACGACCAACGGATGTGATTTAATGACTTAAAAATGACTGATTACTTGCAGTCTGACAAATTTTAAAAAAAATTAAATGATAAAAGTGCACCATGGCATTTACTGTGTAGAATGTGTCCAATAGCGAGAATCCAGAGGTTTAACATTAAAATGCACAGAAGAAGAGTCCTTTCTTTACATTCACAGCTTAACTCTGTCTTTAACCCTTCATTAAGAGCCAACATCAATCAAAAAGAACAACAGCTGCTTTAATGTTTTTCAGACAAAATGAAGCTTCTTTCTGTCTCAGTTGTACTGACACACAAACACACCCGCTCCACAAACCCAGCAGGAAACAGTTCAGTCTTACCGTGGTGTGACTGGGACAGGTGGCTCTGCTGGTGGTGTGACTGGCCCAGGTGACTGTGCGCCAGGTGTGAGTGCGCCAGGTGCGAGATGTGTGCGTGCGCCAGCGAGTCGGCAAGCCGCCCGGCGTTGCCACTGCCTCCGCTCTGCGTCGACGAGGAGGAGGAGGAGGTGGAGCCCAGGTGGGCGGGGCCTAAATGGGAAGGGCGGCTCATCCAGTGCTCCATGCCCGACATGTCGTCACCCGGCCCCGCCTCCTCCTCTGAGCCCGACGAGGAGTCTGAGCACAGGGGGGACAGGCCTATTGAGAGTCAGTGTCAGACATTATTGGTCAGCATTAAACATTGGCACAACATTAACACATGACATTAAAAATGTTAACAGAGAGCATGAACAGTCAGTGAAGTCGGCGTTACCACAACAACCCAACCCTATCCTTCTTCCTGCATCTTATCCCGTCTCCCCCGCTCCTATTTTTCAAGCCCCACCCACATTCGGCAGATGGCTGTTCATCATGAGGTTGGTTTTGCCCCTGCTTTCTGCCACTGTAAGTTTGCTAAATGTGGCCAATATATATATTAAAATTAAATATTTATGAAATGTTTCAAATGCTGGTCATTCAGAAAGCAGCTCCACAGGTGTATAGTTTATTGTTTCAAGTAAAGGAGCAGAACATGAATAATCACTTTAATCACTGATGTTACATGAGTGGCAGAGCAGACTGCTGCTCTCAGGCTGGCAGAGCCAAAATGTCAATAATTAGTCAGCTTAAGTAGAAGAGCAACAAGAAGCAATTAAGTTTAAAACTGGCTTCAGGCTGCACATCAGAGAAGAGCCACAGAGACAGAAACTTAATCTTTAAACAAGAGGTAATCATCTGAGCACACAGGAGCAGGAAAACAGAGAGGCTGAACACTAATTCAAACAGAAATCTGAAGTTAGAAAAAGACTTTCCACCAAGATTTCTCTAAACTCTTCTCTTTTGAAAAATGTCTCTAACCTGATTTCAGGTTCATGTCAAGCTCTGCGGAGGCGTCAAGTTCGATTAAGGTTTTTCTCAAAAGGTTAAAAGGGAAATTGCCGCTGAACAAAGTTATTACATTTCCTTCAAAACCAAATTATATCTTCATCTCTGATTATGTGAAATATAATGAGCTCAGATTTTAGTTAAAGGTCAACTTCAACCTTTCAGCCAGCGTCCTGTGGTTACAGAGTGCACTGAAACTTGAAAACATAAAGGTAATAATCAGTATTTTTACTTTTTCCATGACAGGCCACATTTACTGTAGCTGACCGGCTGTCTGCGGTTTGTTTTTACTGTAAATCTGTCAGTAGTATGCATGCCTCAGGAAATGTGCTTGTTTGCAGTTTTTGGTGAAGTGAGTGTGTTTCTGTGTCAGAATAAAAAATCCATCCGAGGAGCAGAGACACAGCATTACAACCTAATCCTGTCTGGGCACAGGGCAGCCTCTCCAGGGGCAAATTTCAGGCTTAGTACAACCCAGTTCAGCACAGATAACTGATGTGTGTGTGTGTGTGTGTGTGTGTGTGTGTGTTTGCCTTTTTCAGTTCCAAAGCTTTTTTAAATCGTACAATTAATTCTAAGTAAAAGCAAATTTCAGTCAAATAATATTCACCTCAATGAGTTTCCACCAACGATGAATATTACAATGAAAAATATTTGATTTTCAATGCTCAATTGTGTTACTTTTGGACAACCTGACAGCTATTTTTAACCTTTATGTTGTGTTTTAATGACTAATAAGTACAAAAGGTTAAGATTCTCTCCAGTAGATTTCCTAAGCCAATGAGTTAAAATACCTCCCACCTAATCTTTCAGGGCAAATGCACACAAAGTCGGTTGCCCTTCTTCTTCTTCTTCTTAATTTTCTTCTACTTAAAGTATTTTTTTCCCCACAGAGGGACTTGTTTGTTGTTTAATTGGCCAATAACATCACATGAATGATCCCTACAGAGATAGAACTTTTTGTTTAATAGTTAAGACTCTTTTCTTCTGGCCAGAATCAGTTGTTTCATCATCACTTAAACACACCAGAAAAATACTGCAATTTAACCTTGTGGACGACAGGAGTAGCTCGTATACTGCTGCCTCAATCAGATAGTTTTTTTCTTGTTGCTGTGTAGTGAGCAAAATGTGTCAGATTTGAACTTAACATCTAAAACATCAAAGTCCTACAGACAGACAAACTACCTGATGGAGGCTGCAGTGAAACAGCAACGCTTGTGTTTGAAAGATAAATTACTATTTTTGTCAATGGAGTCCGGCAGATTTAAAAAGAGCAATGTGACAGCGGTTTCTTGTTAAAGACAAATTGTTCTCTTTTTAAAAAAAATCCATTCCCTGCTGACAGCTCGGACAGCCTTAGCCTGTCAGTTGCAGGTGAGTGAGTCGAGTACTAGTAGACAGCCACCTGAAGTAAGTGGAGTATAGTGGAGCAATTCCAAAATTGTCCTTCCCTTAACTTCGGTCATTTAGATATACAGGAGTTCCTTTGTAAAAGGATGGGTATATGTTTGTGCTTTGGCTGGAGGAGGAGGGCATGTGAGTGTTTTTGGTTTGTGTCTCGTCACCTGGAGGCGTGTAAGCATCCATGGAGGTCTGCACTACAAGTGAGCGTCTCTTGGAAGGCATCGGCACGGCGACCTTCCTCTCCACATGACGCGCCAACACGGCCTGCACCGCCTCAGTATGGACGTCTTACGGAGAGAGAGAGAAACAGAGGGATTCATTCACAAAGAATATTTCCTGGCTCAGATAACTGCTCTAGTAGGTGTGTATTTTTTTTATCTTTAAATTAACACACTGGAAGCATAACTAAGCCAAATCTATCACGTTACAGTAGATACCATGGCTGCGAGGAATACTACCAGTAATATCTTATAGAACCTAAAAGTAATTTACAATGTTCTGCTATAGTTTAGTTTAGTCATAATCAACGCTAACCAGAAATAGCAAAGCCAAGAAGTAGTCAAGTCATTGACATGGTTTAATTCTTATTACGTCAGTTTATATGAAGGTGTCAATGACTTCTCTAGAACCAACTGAAATTTCAATTAGTTTTTACTTCTTTATAAATCTGACACTCGGATATCTCCCAACTTCATAGACATGCAGTACTTCCCTCAGAAGGTACTTTAAATATCAGAACGCTCTGGCCTTCTTTAAACATTAACTTTGTTGTGTTATGTTTACATAAGATAGAATTCAAAGCTGCGTCAACTGGGAAACCACTCTTGGATTTAATTATTTGTTTTATGTAAAGGATCCATTTAATTTAATCTGCCGTCATAATAAAAAAAATGTCCTGTGCATGATAAGGTTCACAAAATGTTCGATACTACAATAATTTTTTGATACCACGTGTGGAAAAACTATACAACATCCTTTATTTGATTGATAATATCAGAAGTACCAGACTGTTAGGCAATACATACTGTCATAAGATGAGAGTACTTAATTAAATGAAAACTGCTAAACTATCATTTTTTGAGACGGTGTAGATTCTGTACCTGATCTGTAGCGTTCATCTCTGGTGCCGGAGGTCCGTCGCCGGTGGAAACGTGCGGCAGAGGGCGGGCCAAGCTGGGCCCGATGGGACATGGGCCCTTCCATACCTACAGAGGCAAAAGGGCAAACAGGCGGACAGACACACACACATATATACAGACACACACACAGACACACACACACACACACACACACACAGATATGCACATACAGGTTTCACAAAAGCAATAAGAACAGCGCACGAAGGAAAAACAAACATGGAGATGAATTGAATCGGCAGAAAAATGATATTTTTCTGACTTCATAAAAGAAAAATAATTAAAATCAACATGAAATAAAAGTAGAACAATGTGCTAGGTGTGTTGCTGCTCGCTGACGGAATATCCCTGAACACTGTGGGACCCATGTCTGGGATAGAAAACCCCCAGCTGTGTGATGGATGTGAGTGTGTTTTAGTTGCAGTGAGAAGTGTGTGTGTGTGTGTGTGTGTGTGTGAGAGAGTGCGTAGGTGAAGAGAGACTGAGATACGGAGGAGCAGGCCCAAGCTGAGCTCGAGGGAGTCTTAACCTACATTCACTAATGGCGGCGGCTAAAGACTGAATCGATAGAAGAGAGTATTATCGCTACTGTAGTTGTCATGATACTAGATCGATATCTCGTAGTGATATATGTGAAGATTTTAGCAGCGAGGGAGGAGGGGGGCTGTGTGTGTGGCGGGGTCAGAGGTTGCTAAATTACCTCCAGCATGTGGAACATATGCCCTGATCAGCTTGTGCCTCTTCTTCTCATAACCCTTCTGAGTGATGTCCCCTGCAAACAGAGATAGAGATAGATAGAGAGTGAGAGAGCCAGCGACTGCGGTGTGGGCTGCTTTTGGTAATTTAGTCAGAAAATGATTTGTTAAAAAACAGGTTTAATGGAGGATTGAATCTTTTATTTTAAGGGCATTGCTGGTGGCTTGTTGGACAGTCACCATATGAATCACATCGCCCTCAATTTGAGACACTCGTCTCCTGACAGCCAACCTTTTCTGTCTCTCCCAGTCTTTGAACGTCTCTGTCTAGACCGTTAATTAGAGATAAAATGTAAAACATAACAGAAACAACATAAAAAAAATGATGTGATGAATACTGATGGAAATGGAGAATGTGACAAAAAGAATAATGTAGCAAATTTTGTTATGGGGTAGAGGTTAGTCAGTCAACCTCCTCCTGCAGCAGCTCCCATATAAACCTCTCTAAGCCATATGCTAGTTTGTTTGTTCAGTAATTATGATGTTGAGGACCAACATTAGCATAAAGAACTCTACTTTAGTGCTTTCTCACTTCAGGACACTTACTTATACTTGAAATTCTCACCACAGTTTAACATATTTTTTTTTCTTTCGTTCCATTCTGTTGTTTCTGAAACAGTAGATCGACTCATCCACACAAGAAAACCTAAAGGGCAAAGAAGACGTCGTGGAGAACCGTGACGGACAAGCGAGACAAGCTCCAAGCCTGGATTAAGGGTCACCTTGTTGCCAAGGAAAGGAAAGACGGGCCAGATGTTTAGAGTTAAGGTAAGTAAAGTTGGTGTCATATCCAAGCTCTCTGCACAACATGCCAAAACCATCACCAAATGTATGTTGGTAAACGCACAAAAAGCCTCAGTAAGAAACAAAGCATTCAGTAATGTGCAGAAAGACAGAGTGGATGCAATTACATAAATCCAGATACAGATGATTCAAGATTTCTCGCCTCTAATATATTGTCTTGAAGTAGTCTTTGACAGGGCTGTATTTTTTTTCCTGCTTGAAAACATACAACTAAAAAAATTTTTTTTGCTACTCTTGCAGAAAGTCACCCCGACCAAAAGGACTTTTCCATGTCGCGACATCCTCATGATCTGTGTGCACAACAATGCCTGAAACCACCTACAGAATCTTGTGATAGAATCAAGGAGGACTGCTTCCAACATTTTTTGTTACTTTTGAAACAGACAATCAAATAATATTCTTCTCACCACATTTTTTTTGGGGGAAGCAGTGGGTACCATGAATATTTTAATAAGAAAATGTCACAAACAACTAGAGTTTTTTTTTTTTTTTTTTTAAATGTTCTTAACGTAGTTTCTCAGTTAAAAGCCCTGCTTCTTAGAGGACCTCTCTTTGAATGAGAATATCCTCAAATGGTGTCTGAGCTTTGACATAAAACACTGCATTATATTTGGGTTGATTGCCTCTAGCCTTGAACAACATCCATGTTTATTGGCATTTATCATAGACTGTAAATAATCATGGGGGAAGCCTGAGTGACACCATCACTTGGTTTCTGAAGAGATGTTTATGGAATCCAGTCGATGGTAGTTGCCATATTGGAAATGCTGACTATAAAACTTTTGGTCAACAACAGGCAAAGAGCTATAGTGGACACTCAACAAACTGCAGGTTTTGCACTTCTGCATTGGCTTATTGAGGTTTCTGCTTTGTATTAACTCTTTCAAGAACTTTTATCTGAAGTGCCACTGAATCAAAAAATAGACTTTAATGTTGACATACATTTCTTTTACAGCACATCAGCCAGACAAAGCTAAAACCTGATTTTCACGCTAAAGCTGTCCACTAGCTGTTCCTTTAGGTTTTATGTTGAGATACAAAGAATTATCTTGTTTGTGTATTTATCTTTTAATACACTAACTTTTGACATCCCCTTCAACAAATCACAAACCATGCCTCCTGCACAGTTTGCTGGCAACGAACACAAGGAACTTAACAAAAGACCTTGGCCTGCCCAAAACATGAGCGGTTTGGAATCCATAAAATAAATGATCAATTATTCCCACTTCTTTTAAACTGCATAATAAAAACATTCAACTAGAGTTAAATCATGATGTTTCATTGTAAATATAAATAGACTGAGATAGAGGACTTAACTGGTCATAATGACGATAGTAGAGATGAACAGAGAGGTCAGTGTGGAAGGGCAGTCATAGACAAGCTCATTACAATCCCTGAGGGGGTGAGGGGTGAGTTTTTGCTACCTTGGTGACAACTGATGACACCCCCCCCCCCCCCAAATAATGACAACTACCACCTGCCAATCGCAGCCCCAGGCTTCTGGCAGCAGCGCTAATGTTAGCTAACACGTCCTCGTTTGTCCCCATTTAATGCCGCTTAACTGCATCACACCAGTTTTCTAATTATTGATCATTATTGTATGCCACAGAGATGTTTAATTCTGCAACAACAGGGAGACAACTCAAACACAACAGGGAAAGACATTCAGCAAAAGACGACTGGGCACAGAAACACGCTGGTGTGATAATAAGCTACAAACAAGACAGCTGACAGATGTGCATCGTTTAACACCATGAGAAATATTCTCCTCTGAATAAAGGAAAAAAACAAACAATGAGTTTAACTGGAAGTTAACCCTGCTCAGGCACTCACTCAAGATTTGCCCTTTTATAAAAAAATTAGTGCTAAATTACTGGATTTGTAGCTAATATTCCTTCATTTAAATACATGCTATAGTGGACATGTTTTACTTTTTCATCAATATTAATTCAATTACCGGTAATCTTTTTCTTGAGTGATGTTATAATGAAATAGGTCATAAGTGTTTAATGTCTACTTTATAAAGGCTCAGTAATTTCCTAAAATAGCTTCTTTAGGCCTTTACTCTCGAGGCATTTTTGGGGACTATTTTTAAGCAATAGTTTAATCCACATATGATGCTCTGATTAGTATTTTGGGCAGCAGGACGGTGTATGTGGGATGGAGTTTATATATACAGCATGCTGTTTGTTTTGATAAAGGAACCTCTCATCCAGTACAAAAGTGTGGTTCCTGAGTGTGTTAACAATAGTTTTTGACAATGATGGAGCTCTAAAGCAAAGAGGAAGAAGGTATTCATAATGATGAGAATGTGAGAGCCTGTTAGAAGATAATTCTCCAAATATGGGATTTATTGAAGTATATAACCAGGCTAACCCAGAAACTGAAAATATATATCCTTCAAAGCTTGTTAGATAAATCAGTTACTAATGTTAAATGGATTAACATTAGTAAAAACACTGGATATTTACCGGCATAATGTTTACAGAGGAGGTAGGTGGATACACGTGTGAAAGTCTGTGGAGGAGTCTGTGTGTCTGTATTCATTCTCCATCCTACAAACGACAGTCTCTGCAGGCACTGGCTGAGAGCAGGAGTGTGTGATGAGTTTGTCCACCTTTGAGAGCTCCTAGAGCGGATAGAAGTGTGTGGAAGACGACCTCTGGCTGCAGCAGGTGTGTGTGCGATGAGTTTGTTCTGTTGATCTCTGTAAGCGGAGCGGAGTGAGGAGGACGTTGAGAACATGCATAAAATGTCACTTCCTGGAGCTTTCGTGGAAAATACAACCCGGGGAAAAAAGGTTATACAGGCAACACAGATGTGAACATCTACTTTTTCACATCAGTTAACCGTTCGCTTATTAATGGGCGATAAAAAACTATTTCTACATGTAAAAAGTTACATGTCGCCCCATTAAGGGCCCAAAATACATTTTCAGAAGTAGCTCAAATGTTTTCTGTCATGTGGCAATGATGTATTTAAAAAAATCAAATAACCCTCTTTTAAACTGCATGTACAAGATAGGACCGTCACACCTCATTATCAATACAAAACTAAGTAATGGTGATGGTGGGGCAAGGTGGTTCCATTGCAGAAGTAGTATTTGTGTAACAGGGGCCGAAACAGCGTCACTAAAATATCAAATTCGGCAGTATGGAAAATCTGTGTGTGTGCATGCGTCTGAGTTTATGTACGAGAACTTTTGTAACACCATAACGAAATGTAAAATCACACGCTGAGACAAAAGTTACGCTGTTGTTTGGTTCAGTGGACGTGAGTGACAGTGGACGTTTGTGCGCTGTGGAGATTTTTTATGTAAAAATGGCGTCAGCTTATTCATAAAAGTGTGCTCTGATTATATATTTTAAGTATCTAGTTATAGTTTTGCATCTCTACAAGAACCATTTGACAGAACATACCATACAGAAAAAAAGAAAAGAAACACTCTCAACACTTTCTGCAGCACAAATTGAAGATTCATTAAATATTCTGCAATCGGTTGGAGCACAGGTAGATAAGTCACATTAGTATCAAACCAGTGTTGATTCTTTTTATAATATCCACCAGCTTTCTGAAATATCTTGAGTCACCTGTCTTATTGGTTTTTATGATGTCTCGCTTTTAAACCTGTTGTTTCCTCTCCCATAAGTAGAATTATCACAACTGTGCACTGACTCAATCACTCTATTTGCTGAAAGATGAACCTAGCTGTCTGCACACAGATTCTTTCTGGGAGCCCATGGCTCCGGGGAACAGTGGCAGCTCTGCACAAATAAGCAAATATGACTGTAAATAAATATTGAAAACTGGCAACTGCAATTTTCAAAATCAAGTTTACAAAAAGAATAAATATTAAATAAAGAGACAATGTTTTCTCAGCTTCATACACAAAATAGTCCCAAGAAGTCTCAGGACTTCAAATCGTTTTGACAAAACTCCACTGAGCACGCACTGTAACCAATCCATTCTTCACTGTATGGAGATTTCTGCAATAGGCAAACATGCACAATAGTACTGCAATTGGAATAATAAAGTAAACAGGGACAGTATGCAGACGGGTCTGATGCAGAGAGCTGGGGTTTAAGTGTTGCACAGAGAGAGGTGTGAAAGAAATGTGGCTGAAAAACAGAAGGAAGGAAACAAAAGGAGTGTCTGGTATCCATGTTTTTAATAACTACAACCAAAAGAAACCCTCAGACAGATAGATAGATAG